GAAATAGGCTTCTTAGCACACTTATTATGCAATATACTATTAAAACACACGTGCTTTAAAGTTGCTAAGTAACGATACTTCAAGTATGACTTTTGAAACTGTCATCTGGATGAAATAAAAAATCCTCTTAGGTCGCTTTCTGTAAATGCGGAACATTTCTTTGGCTTTTGTACCTATCCTTTGGTTGAAGCTTTCACAAACGCGCGTAATTTAGGGTATGCTTTCAAATCTGTTCCACTTTTTAATCGCAGCATTGCTTTAAAGTTTTGAATGAATGCACCAAAATATAGAAGATTTAAATACCTTTGACATTTCCATCATATATGCCAGCATTATGGATGCATTTAAGACTGTATTCGTAAGTAACTTCCTATTCATCCATGGAAACAACTTTTCATATTCTTTATATAGGCTTTACTGGAGTTGGATTTTACACCTACCAACGTTTGTTTAGATTTTACAACAATCGATTTAATGGACGGTGTATTATCTTTTTCAACGGAAATCGTTTAATTCACAAAGACGATGATTTTTATAAGCAAACGTCAAGTGACATTTCCATGGCAATCGTGAAATAACAAACACCCAGCCCACTTAATTAGACATGTATTCGAGTATAACGTCAATATGACTTCATTGTATTTCCTATTTTTAAATTATACTGCAGGTATAATAAAAATACTATAAGATACACGTGTATAATTGGTCTTTAAAGCACTTGCAACGTTAAAGGCACTCCGCTTTGCGTCGTGCCCTTAAACTCGTTGCGCGTGCTTTAAAGACTTGATTATACACTTGTATCTTAATATACTATACAAAATCGAATACTGCCCAGCTCTGCCGAAAAGTGGGCTTTCATCGCCAAACCTACACCCACAAATACTTTGATTTGATCGAGATCATTAATCAAATTACTCGTATAAAGATCACATGTGGTCTCGCTGCACCCGCAGAAAGAAGAGATTTAAGATCGAATTCTGCCGTATGAAAACCGATACTATCTAGTGTGGCATTCACAAAATATTTAAAAAATGGACTGCGATCGCTTTCTAAATTGCCATCGTAAATTATTCCAGTATCGAGCAAGCGGAGAAATCATCCTCGGCACCGGTTGTAAAAAATAATAGATACGTCCTTTACATTTAAAAATGCAAATGAAGACGGCGTACCGATATCTGTCAAAGTTTCAAAATCACTGGACCGATGGACACGATACGGACGTACCATCCGTCAACGTCACCCTCTTTTACAAATCGCCATCATACAATAGTGTACCCGTTTATTTGCCCCGGTGCCACTGAATTATCCGTCAATTAGACGAAAGATAATTAATTTTTTGGGTTAACGTATCGGACTACATTAATTAAAAAATTTCTTTCCATTTATAGGTGTGTTGACCCGCCCGATCTTCTTTCAATCGAGTACCGTTACTCCACGTGTTTTTGTAACTCGAAGCGTTAATTCCAAAATGAATTTTGATTATAGGTGTCTAGGCACATGCCAAAGTATATTCTTGCAAAATTACAATAGATAATAAAACTTTATTGTCCTTTTTCGTTAAAGTTTAAAGAATACAAGATTGATGGCTAGGATAAGATGCCACAAATGTATACTTTATAAACCCATGGCGCGAACTGAAGCAATAATTATGTATCTGGAAGTGTAAATCTACATTGGATTTTGCCCAATTTCTTTAAATTTTCACCATAATTGATAATGGTACAGCGTCACTCGTGACAAAAGTAATTTTTAACCGATTACCTGATCTCTCCTGTTTATTGAACAATTAAGAGGATGAAGGAGAACATTTTTCAAAAATTTCGAAAACAATTCAATAAAGATTAAGGGATCACATTTAAAATAATAGTCGTATAAAATTAAAAATATTTTAGCTCATACGTAAAAATTGATTCGCTTTGGTTTCTCGTCGTTGAATATATACAAAATGTCCGTCGTTTCCCAAAACTTTCAGTTGTAATAAAATATACGTCTATGCAAGTGACTTTGTTTTCAGCATTTTCTGATTTCTCTTCTCACTTTCAGTAAAATGGCATGGCTTGCGGTGGAATTGTTTCCAGAAGAAGTTTTTGCCACAATTGTATTCAGTATTCATATGGAACGATTAGTGTGTCCACTGCCAAATCGCTGCGATTTACTATGCGTGAAAAAGGTTGGCCCCGCATCCAAAACTGTTGCTTGGGTACATTTAACCAATTTTTGAAGGAGGGGGGTTTCAAGAATTTCCACCGTCCATTGCAGAAAATGTTGATTAAATTTACCACGCGAAAAAGTCTAATGTGTTCGATTCCATTAGAAGAGGGTTGACGCCACTCAACCACTTGATTATTATATGTTAAGGATGAATTGTATGATGCTATAATTGAGGATGGAGGAGATCTTATCCCTGATTTTGTAATTTTTTTCTCTATGGAATGCCATAAAAATCCAATATGACATCCATAATAAATAAGAAAATTGATGTAATTTACTCGAAACTCACAAGTTATAAAAATTTTGTTTTAGAACTATGAGAAAGCTGAGAAAAAAATCACTAGGTGGTTGTTAAAATTATTTTTTAATATTTTTGAAAATAAATGAACCCCAGCTCATTTTCGAAAAACACATATTTCGGTTTTTAGACCAGAACTTCGTTATATGCACAGTCAGAAGAACTTTAACACCTGCGTGTATAGCAATGCTCGGTTGCGGGGGTTGAAATTTTGGGTGTACACCAAATATTTGGAATTTTTTGATAGATTATGTTTAAGTACACTAGAACCAACCCTTAAAGGACCCTCTAACAATAAGTTTCCTTCTCGTTTGAAACTTACGTAATTTTCTAGAAAATTAACGCCTGTGTGTATAGCAATGGTCGGGGGTTGTAACTTTTGTTGTGGACCAAATGTTTTGAATTTTTTGATAGATTATGTTTAAGTAAACTACAACCAACCCTTAAAGTGCCCTCTAACAATATGTTTCTTTCTCGTCTGAAACTTACGTAATTTTCTAGAAAATTAACACCTACGTGTATGGCAATGGTCCGTTGCGGGGGTTGTAATTTTTGTTGTACACCAAATATTTTGAATTTTTTGATAGATTATGTTTAAGTACACTAGAACCAACCCTTAAAGGGCCCTCTAACAATAAGTTTCCTTCTCGTCTAAAACTTAACGTAATTTTCTAGAAAATTAACACCTGTGTGTATATGGTCGGTTGCGGGGGTTGTAACTTTTGTTGTACACCAAATATTTTGAATTTTTTGATAGATTATGTTTAAGTACACTAGAACCAACCCTTAAAGGGCCCTCTAACAATAAGTTTCCTTCTCGTCTAAAACTTAACGTAATTTTCTAGAAAATTAACACCTGTGTGTATATGGTCGGTTGCGGGGGTTGTAACTTTTGTTGTACACCAAATATTTTGAATTTTTTGATAGATTATGTTTAAGTACACTAGAACCAACCCTTAAAGTGCCTTCTAACAATAAGTTTCCTTCTCATCTGAAAGTTACGTAATTTTCTAAAAAATTAACACCTGTGGGTATAGAAATGGTCGGTTGCGGGGGTTGTAACTTTTGTTGTGCACCAAATGTTTTGAATTTTTTGATAGATTATATTTAAGTAAACTACAACCAACCCTTAAAGTGCCCTCTAACAATATGTTTCTTTCTCGTCTGAAACTTACGTAATTTTCTAGAAAATTAACACCTACGTGTATAGCAATGGTCCGTTGCGGGGGTTGTAATTTTTGTTGTACACCAAATATTTTGAATTTGTTTATAGATTATGTTTAAGTAACCTATAGCCAACCCCGAACCTGCCCTTTAACAATAAATTTCCTTCTTGCTTCAAACTTACGGAATTTTTTAGGAAATAAAAACCTGCTTGAATAGCAACGCTCGGTTGCGGGGGTTGTAATTTTTGTTGTGCACCAAATATTTGGAATTTTTTGATAGATTATGTTTAAGTAAACTACACCCAACCCTGAAACTGTCATTTAAGAATAAATTTCCCTCTCGCTTTAAACTTACGTAATTTTTTGAGAATTCACACCTACGTGTATCGAAATCCTCGATTGCGGGGGTTGTAACTTTTGTTGTACATCAACATTTTGAATTTTTTGACAGATTATGTTTAAGTAATCTACAACCAACCCTGAAACTGCCCTCTAACAAGAAATTTCGTTCTCGTTTTAAACTTAGCAATTGCCAAATATAATAGGAAATGAAAGGAATGAATTTTTTAAGAGAGATTTTTTAAGGTGAGTGCAAATTGGTCCTAAATTCGAAACACAACTTTCTCGAGTTATACGATGGTTCCATTTGTTCGGGCATTCTTTGTGAACATCTCGTGATATCATTGATATTGTAAGTAAGCACAAAAATAACTTGGTTATAAAAAATGCACATGAGTATAAGTTAGTTCTACACTTATAGGAAACTATTTTCAAATTAATTCTGAAATTTACAATGTTTAAGGTGGAATCGTGGGAGGACTAGTACGGCTGCCAATTAAATTAATTATTGGGACATTAATTATAAATTGTGGACAAGTGAGGGTGCCAACTTTATTGACGTCGATTTACCAACTTTTGAGTAATAAATGTATATAAATGCAAAAATTCTGTGTTTTAATTTTGATCCCTATCATAATTAGACGGTTTGAAAATCGCAGCCGTGTTTATTAATTGAGATTTAAGGATAATTCGTAGATATTTGACATCAACATTAAAAGCACAAAGCAAGAGTGGAAATTAGATTTTCCGCACTCTCAAATTCATTCCCAAAATTTATACCACAAATTAAAAGTGAAAGTAAACGCAACTTTTCCCCAAGCATGGCTGGTTTATACTCGCATACCACACCAGACCACTCAAAACGCGCGACGATTGAAAAATCCAACACTTTTCCAAACACAACGCCTGCCCATTGTGGGAAGCAAACAGACGCGTTTCAGTAAACGTCGAATTTTTCCCACGGAATCTTTAAATAAATCACTTACTTCTTGTTTGTATCCATAAAGGCGTCAAACTCGACCGACATTTTACAGCAGAGAGCCTTTCTGTGATGCGACGCTGGACATTTGGTGTTAATCACGTGGCCATCTGTAAAAATATAAACATTTCAGTTGCATGTTTACTACCGAACGTTTTAATGCAAATGCTTCGTGTGCAAAAAGCGAGCGCACAAGAATATGGTAAGTTTATTTAAATTAAGGGTGGCCAGTGAAGCATGTAGTTCACCTGCACTCTCTCTCTTTACGTTACCCTTTGTTCCGCTAGGATTATTACGGCAAGGAAATGTACTGATTAGTGATCTTCTTTATTGTTTCTACTTTGCATTTGCCGTATTAAGGGCGTTGTTGTAATTTGCACAGCTGGAACTTGTCGATTGGATGAATTATTCAAGACTTTCTTACATAAAAATATTTATTTATGCGACAAATAAAAGAAATCATTAACATGAAAATAGAGGACGTGATTTTTTTCCCATTTTTGCCCAAATGTCACCTTACTTATTACTGTATGGAAATTTGTGAGAAAGAAACTGTAGAAGAAAATTTCAATTTAATTGTTTAAAGGCGCAATTTATACAGAAATCTAATTTTTGTAGTAGTACTGTTAAGACCAATCCCCCAACTTTTCCTGGCTTTAAGCCTCGGGTTCCTGTTTACCGTTATGAAAATTCCTTTAGTTTCTGGCATCTGACTACTATAATTTTCGCAGCTTAACTGTAGGTATATTTGACAGAATAGGATTAAGCCTTAATTGCCCTTAATTGGCAAGTTTTAGTTTAGGCTTTCAAGTGTCATATGCTCCAAGATTAAATCTTACCCAATCTTAGAGCTTGCGGCCGACTTTAGAGCTTTACGTACCAGTTATTGCAATTAATTTGTTTCTTTTAATTTTAAATTAGTTATTTGTGAGTTGTTATAAATCGTTTCGTAATTGAAAAATAATCAAAATATACGATACCGCACAACCCTATATCGGTGCGATCTGCAACAACAACTTCTTTTCGTTTTATTTTGGAGACAAAACCATATTCTTTACTAATAATAATAATAATAATACCTTTATTTGGTTACATATTGCACCCATATTATGAGTACATTGCGAGAATTGTGTAGAACCTCTTCTATGCCATCTGTATTTTAAAGATACTCAGCACAACACTAAATAAAATTAAACTCCAAAATTTTACAAGTTCTGAAGAAATGGTACAGGCATCATCATTCAATTTCTATTAAATTAAAAATCTTTCTGGAGGAAATTTTGTGAAAATTAGATGTTCTTCGCCCCTAAGCAATTTATTTATAATCACTCAAAGGGATGTTCCTACAATGCTCGTCGCTTATGGAAATCTTGCAATTTTTGAACATTTGGTGAAGTAGCTCTAACAAAACATGGAAGTGAAGCACAAACTTTTGTTTCAAAAGCAAACTTCTCGCATGATGGAAATGCGAAATTTGAGCAGTACAAAGAAAAGGAAGTGTTTTACTAACGGATCCAATTAATATGCAATGAATAAATTACAATACAATAGCGCTATTAGCCCGCCGGTAATTTAAGCAGAAAAGCGACAGTGGAGGTGCGGGAAGTACTTACAAATTTAACACATCGCCATTAATTTAAATTACGTACAGCTCGTAATTAGTTAAGTACAGAACGATCGTCTTGAGATAACAATTCGATCTAGCCAATAAAACCCGAGCAATTGTCTAAAAGGATATATAATTAACGTTACAAAATAACAGGAAACGGATCTTTGTAATTCAATAAACGTCGGTAGCCATTTGTCTGATCTTATTTAGATCAATTACGCTTATTATCCAAATATCCTTTGTGGCGAAAGCCGAGTAACGTGATTGTTCCGTCCGTCCGTTCTCTGCTCGTTTTCATTACCGACGTCTACGGCAATAAAAAGCTGTAGGTATACGCTTAACTCAATTTGATCGCCCCCTGTTATCCTAAAAAATTTCTCTCGCCAAAAGCCTCTTAAAACGCACCCTTCCGATAAAAGAATCCCATAAAATTTGCACGAGAATTTTATCTATAAATCGAAGGTGAAACACATTTAAAATAGAGATAAAGCCGGAAAAAGGGAGAAACCCATCAATTACGGAGACGTGTGCCGGAGTTCCCTTTTGTGATACTTTACAATTTCCCGCGTTCCATGAGAAAAAAAGTCCGATCGTTTATCAATTTGATCGCATGCGCTGCCGCTCATTGATAGATATATACTTTTTTTTCAGAACCCGTATAGATCCACAATTAACTGCCGCAAGACCTTTTCGGCTTTGGTTTTTATTACGTCGGAGGCCCATAACGCATAATAATAATAAAAAGATGAGGGAGAATAGCGAAGTGAAACAGTAATTTAAGTCGGATAATAAAACAATATTTCCCAAAGGTATTTGGGATATTTTTTTAAGTGTAAGATACACTTGTAAGGGATTTAAATATTTCGTTTGTATTTAAAATGAAAATGGAATTACAGCAGCTTTTCTTTGAGGCATCAACATATTAAAATTAGGTACTTACCTACCGAAAGATGTAACATTATCAGAGTAATTACCGTTTAACGTAATTGTATCCAAAATGGTGCACAAAACCGTCTAAAACATACCCATGTAACGTTCTTTTTTCCTTTTTTTGAAGTACAGGTTTCGTTCCATCAGGCTTAGAAACCTGTGATGTATTTGCGTAGCCTAAGAAAAACCGTGTAATCAACATTGAGAGGGAAAAGGAGAAGTCCGACAGAGCCACCAGAAGAGCATCCCCATCGAGATCCCCACCCCAGATATATTTCCATTATGTTACTAATGAAGAATGGCCTAATTTTGAAATTAAAATTAATGCCTACCTCTTTTCGAAGCATAGGATTTGTACTAACTAAACAATAAATTGCGGTTTCCCTCTTGCATGTAATAGTGCTTCGTGTGGTACTTCCAAAAACGTTATAATTACTGACAGTTACGTCGAATAAAGACCATACATAACAATTAACGAACAATAAAAAAGCATTCTAATGAGTGCCCCAAATTCACATAATTAACAGTTAACTGTATCGACTTAACGTCCACATTCGCGCGGGTTGAATAGACGAAGACAAATGACCGTAAAACTTACGTGTTTTGTTGTGAAGGTCCTTATCATCGCTATCGGTAAAAAACCAAGTCTGAAACAAAGGAACTAATTAAATTACAATCTCCGTGCACTTCTTCATCAAAAATTTTTAATTACGCCACACTCTTAATAATAAAAATAGAAAACTCATCCCTCCGACATAAAAAGATGAACTTCCGTTTGTCACATCATAAGAGACTGTTTCTTGTAGATAATTCTGGAGGATAATAAATAACTCATTGCCGTCCTGCCTGAAGGCGAGGGGAAGGAAAAAAAGGAAAATCTTAATCGAGCTTGGTCTTATTTATGCTTGGAATTTTCTTAATTATAGAAGGTAAATTGAGGGTTTTTATTGGTTATTCAGTACTAGCTAATCCGATTAAAAGATCATATAATTTTTCATGCGTTTATCCGCATACTCGTCCGCATATTTTCCGACAATTGGAACGTATCGAATAAAAAACAACCTGCGTCATCTAGCGGAAACGTTTCCAGTTGATTCTAAGTGCAATTTCCCTATAGGTGCATAATAGTAGGAAGCTTTTCGGGAGGTCTAAAATTCAATGCCGTTACTTTGCGAACACCTAAATTGCTGCAAGAATAAAATCAATTAATACTTCGAAATTCAGATTTCAATGTTTACTCTTTTCAAACAGTAACTGAAACACTTTAATTCACCTAAAATAAAATACCATACAGATGGCATGGCGATTCTCAACTGCGGGGGTTGTAACTTTGGTGGTGGTACACGAAATATTTCTGTTTCTTTCACCGATTACGTTTAAATGATGTACAAACAACCCCCCAATTGCCTTCTAAAGATTAAATCGCACCCCGTTCTCAAATTTCATATTTTTTAAGAAAATTCTTCTATGCATGTATAGCAATTCTCAATTGCGGGGGTCGTAACGTTTGTGGTGCACGAAATATTTTTGTTTCTTTCACCGATTACGTTTAAATGATGTACAAACAACCCCCCAATTGCCTTCTAAAGACAAAATCGCACCCCGTTCCCAAATTTCATATTTTTTAAGAAAATTCTTCTATGCATGTATAGCAATTCTCAATTGCGGGGGTTGTAACTTTTGTGGTGCACGAAATATTTTTGTTTCTTTCACCGATTACGTTTAAATGATGTACAAACAACCCCCCAATTGCCTTCTAAAGATAAAATCGCACCCCGTTCCCAAGCCTCATATTTTGAAGATAATTCTCCTATGCATGTATAGCAATTCTCAATTGCGGGGGTTGTAACTTTTGTGGTGCACGAAATATTTTTGTTTCTTTCACCGATTACGTTTAAATGATGTACAAACAACCCCCCAATTGCCTTCTAAAGACAAAATCGCACCCCGTTCCCAAATTTCATATTTTTTAAGAAAATTCTTCTATGCATGTATAGCAATTCTCAATTGCGGGGGTCGTAACGTTTGTGGTGCACGAAATATTTTTGTTTCTTTCACCGATTACGTTTAAATGATGTACAAACAACCCCCAAATTGCCTTCTAAAGACAAAATCGCACCCCGTTCTCAAATTTCATATTTTTTAAGAAAATTCTTCTATGCGTGTATAGCAATTCTCAATTGCGGGGGTTGTAACTTTGGTGGTACACGAAATATTTCTGTTTCTTTCACCGATTACGTTTACATGAAGTACAGAGAACCCCCCAATTTCCTTCTAAGGATAAAATCGCACTCCTTCAAATTACATATTTTTTTTCAAAATTTTCTAATGCAGCTAAAAAATTCCCTTTAATGTGTGTAGCAAGGGATAGCCATCTTCGAGGGGTTTGTAAATTGTTTGACTTGGGCCTAAAGGGATTTTCAGTTCATGATGTTTATTTCGATTTTAAAAAATTCGTACTTGCCGGAGGTGGTTAATTTAACCAACCTGGAGACCCCTTTACTCCATACTCAATTGGCAATCAAACCGTATAGGTACTTGTAACATTATTTCTTGTTTATAAATTGCAAATAAACTAGTAAGAATATCAAAACCCTCCTATACAAAATAACTAAAACGCTCAAAATCCTGAAGTGGCACTCGACCCTCTGTAAAAGCGCCAATGTCTGCTTTATCCCAATCCGAGCGTAAACCTCCACCAAAAATCCTCGACAGCGATTAGGGAAAAGCGAAGGAGCTTCTGTTTTAAGTTTACGACCACCCCCAAATTCCTCTCGAAGTATTTAGCAAAGCAGGTGCGCTCGTCTAACCCTCCGCAGGTTTCGTCTTTGTGCCGAATCGAAATGTGATATTTTTCCGGCTAGTGGATAATGTCTAAATATTTTAAATGGGAGGGTGAGGTTGCGATACCGTATTTCCGTACTACATAAAAAGGCTTTTAGTTACATAAACTTTGGTGTAGGATTTAAATATAATACCAATATACATCAAAGGAAGCGCCCATGCCTAGGAGTGAAGTTTATTTATTTGATTATTTATTCATACTGAAATATCATGGCTGGGTCCAATACGCAGATTTTTTTGAAATGTATGATAAAATTCAATTTCACCAGAACTTTTTCCATTCAATTTTAATTGGATAATTCATTTTAGTTACACAGGGGGAACAATCTCTACCTTTGAAACTGTTATCAGTGGAGACTGAAGTTAACGCTTCCTTATCATATGATAAAACATCAAAGGAAGCTTTATGCTAGGTCAACTTTACGCTGATTTTCAGAAAATGACTTTTCTAAGTACGGATGGAAGTACCTCAGCAGTTTTTATAAAGGTGAATTAAGAGAAAAAGTTTATACCTGGAAAATGGAAACTCGATGAGTGCGGATAATAATTAAAACGTTGAATATTAATATTTGGGGGACGATATCATTTTTCAGTCTGGAATTAATTTTCAGTTTCAAGCTTAAAGGGGATATGCGTTCGTTGCCGAATGGGATTTACATAAATAACCGCATTTCTAACGCAAATTATGGAAATTAAATAATACATTTATATCAGAGATATGTACGAATTTTTGAAGGGTTTATTTTGGCTTTTGTTACATAGTTTTAGCCAGTCTCGTTCATGTTTTACCTTTCTTTGGCATTTCCTGGACTGTTTCATTAGCATGCTAATTGCATTTAATTATATTTAATTGGGCGTTGACTGGTATGAGTCAGTATGTGGTTATTTTTAAACATTTCAACAAATTTTGCACCAACAATACTGTCAGAACAAAGACATTCCACAGATAGAAAAAGGCCGCCCGTTTTTCAAAACACGTTTACATACAAATAGTGACCAGAATAGCCCACTAAAATCCATTACAAAACATCATCAACTTCCTATTTAGTGCGAAAATGAACTCCTCGATAAGGACGTGGTATAGCTCTTTTCAATATAACGGCCATTAGATTTTAATGTGCTAGAAAGGCCTAAAGATGAACTATACTTCGGATTCGGGGGCAAATTTTGTAAATGAGAGCCTTGGTGCGATTTTATGAGTCTCTTGAGAGAATTTAAGGGTCTACAAAGGTGTTTTTTTAGAACCTTTAAGGGCTTTAAACATATGTAAGAGGTATAACAAAAATCTACGAAAGACTTAAAAACGTCGCCATCAGTATCGAAGAGTCGCAAGAGCATTCTAGACTTTTAGTTTGTGAGATGACTCTTTTACGCCCAAAAAATCAGGCTGAAACCCGAACTTTCGACTAAAAATAGAAATTTTTTGGATTTAAAATAATAACATTCGATTGGAATTCAAACTGTAGACTTTACGCTCGAAATCGCGACATTGAACTCCATTTTTAAATCCAAAATCTCGGATTGAAACTCGAAATTTCGACTGAAAATAGAAATTTGAATTTGAAATAATAAAATTCGATTGAAATTCAAACTGTAGACCTTACGCTCGAAATTTCGACATTGAACCCCATTTTTAAAACCTACAGTTCGGGTTGAAACACGAAATTTAGACTGAAAATAGAAATTTGGATTCGAAATAATAAAATTCGATTGAAATTCAAACTGTAGACTTTACGATCGAAATTTTGACATTAAACTCCATTTTTAAAACCCAAAGTTCGGCTTGAAACACGAAGTTTAGACTGAAAATAGAAATTTGGATTTGAAATCATAAAATTCGATTGAAATTCAAACTGTAGACCTTACGCTCGAAATTTCGACATTGAACCCCATTTTTAAAACCTACAGTTCGGGTTGAAACACGAAATTTAGACTGAAAATAGAAATTTGGATTCGAAATAATAAAATTCGATTGAAATTCAAACTGTAGACTTTACGATCGAAATTTTGACATTAAACTCCATTTTTAAAACCCAAAGTTCGGCTTGAAACACGAAGTTTAGACTGAAAATAGAAATTTGGATTTGAAATCATAAAATTCGATTGAAATTCAAACTGTAGACCTTACGCTCGAAATTTCGACATTGAACCCCATTTTTAAAACCTACAGTTCGGGTTGAAACACGAAATTTAGACTGAAAATAGAAATTTGGATTCGAAATAATAAAATTCGATTGAAATTCAAACTGTAGACTTTACGATCGAAATCGCGACATTGAACTCCATTTTTAAATCCAAAATCTCGGATTGAAACTCAAAATTTCGACTGAAAATAGAAATTTGAATTTGAAATAATAAAATTCGATTGAAATTCAAAGTTTAGACTTTACGCTCGAAATTTCGACATTGAACCCCATTTTTAAAACCCAAAGTTCGGGTTGAAACACGAAATTTAGACTTAAAATAGAAATTTGGATTTGAAATAATAAAATTAGATTGAAATTCAAAGTGTAGACTTTACGCTAGAAATTTCACCCTTGAATCCCATTTTTAAAACCCAAAGTTCGGCTTGAAACACGAAATTAAGACTGAAAATAGAAATTTGGATTGGAAATAATAAAATTAGATTGAAATTCAAAGTGTAGACTTTACGCTCGAATTTTCACCCTGGAATCCCATTTTTAAAACCCAAAATTCGGCTTTAAACACGAAATTTAAGCTGAAAATAGAAATTTGGATTTGAAATAATAAAATTAGATTGAAATTCAAAGTGTAGACTTTACGCTCGAAATTTCACCCTTGAATCCCATTTTTAAAACCCAAAGTTCGGGTTGAAACACGAAATTTAGACTGAAAATAGAAATTTGGATTTGAAATAACAAAATTAACCATTTTTAAAACGCAAAACTTCAGCTTGAAGCATTTTGCAATATTTGATATAAGAATCTGGGAAAGTAGCGGAGAGAAAGGGAAAAGGGTTGTAATTTTACGAGCTCATGTAAAAAACTGATATTCGGCGCGTGTATCATCCCGAATGTAAAAAAATGGAAAGTTCAATTGTTTCCAAAACGTGGCTTTTAGGAGAAGTTAAATCGATACTAATATAAAGCAAAGGAACGTATGTGTAACACGTGTCTCATTGAAACGTCAATGGCGTTACCCGTGGGAAAAATTTAACCCTCACCCTCACTTAGACAACCGTAACCGGCATAAAGGGCGCAAACAATATGTTTCTGGTGTACTCCTCTCCCCATGGGAGTACTTTATGTACGCAAACCTAAAAGATAGGTGTCATTATCTCTAATAGAATGCCCATAATTACTACAAGCACGAAAGAAAAAAAAGTGACAATTCCTCAGGTAGTCTCTACGGGCACGCGACCTACCCGCTAAACTTACCTGTTCTTTCGCCAGCTGAAACCAAGTCTTCAGGATCACGGATAATCTGCTCTTGTGATATCGTTTCGTAGTTTTGACACTGATGAATATATCGTCTACGGTTATCGTTGGTGGCCTGAAGGTGGTAGGAATCTCGCTCGTCGCCTTATTAGCTGCCAGCTCCTCGTAGCCGAAATCGTACCGGTAATCCTTGCCACCTTTGCCGTTCAGAATGGCCTGTAAAAAACGTCAAAGTTGTAAATGTTTAGTGGCGTCAAGTATGCGAGGACGATTGTCGCTATTTATATTATAAAATGTTATTTATTGACAGTTGATTGGCGCGCGTTTGAATTAATGAAATAAAGCTCGTTCGGGAATTTATAATCTTAAAAGGGTTAATCCGATAGTCGCAGATGGGGTTGCTCTATGCTAATAAAAGAGGAATGTACTTTCATTTAAAATCTATACCCAAAAAGCGAGCTAAAAACTAATTGGGTACCGATGTAATAAAATTCACACCGAGGGTTTAGTTTTCGAATATAACTTCAAGTATAGACCTTAAATTTTGAGCCCTCTTTTTACTTAAAGTATGCTCATATAAATTTATCTCCGTTGGTTTCAACAGGATGGTGCACCCGCATACAACGGCATAATCGTGCGACAATACATATCGGACAAATTTGTTCATTCTCCGGGACATTTGTCCGATCGATCTTCTCACACTATTAGAGCGTTGTGTGAGGGTGCACCATCCTGTTGAAACCAACAGAGTTTTCCAGTTTTGTTGTGGATAGAAAAGACTGTGCAGCTGGTTCCTTATAAGTTCTCAAGCAATGCTTTCGGGCTGCTTCTCATGTTGATGATAGGGATACCAAACTGAATTTGGAGAGAGCTTTAGGAAGACAGGTCAAATCTCAATTTATCTAAAGTGTCCCCCAAGTCATGGTCATTAACTCGGTAAAGATGGCATTAGGCGTAGTGTGTCATCTCCTCTGTTTTCACTGATGCGGCTCTAACGGACGAGGGACTTCCGGAATAAGGAGATAACTCTGTACCAAGTACCAACGGCATCTGGGGAGGGCGGTTGAGCGGGTTCGGGGGCATTTTTTTGTCCAGGAGGTAAGCAATCACTCCAAAGGCGGAGGAATATCGTATACATCCTTGTAAATTTCCATTTTATCCTCCATTTTATCGAAAAATGTTTCAATTAAAAGTTATTTGATATCTAATTTTTTTTTAACAAAAGCGTAACAGATAATTTTTTATCAAATGACAAGATATCTTTTGCCAACTTATTTGATGTTTTATTCCCTTTTGAAAAATGTGAAATATTAGTACTCTTGCTTCGGAAAAATTTTAAGAAAACATCAAAAAACTATTTCAACAACGTTCAAGAGTGCTCTCATTTGCCTTTCAGATAAATGAGCCATTTATATTAAGCGTATTTCACTCACAAATGGATGTCGCCCAACTTTTTGACATACTACCTCGACAGCTTTATCTGTTGCGCTTTTGTATTAAAAAAATAAAAAATTCCACGTGTTAAAAAATTTTATTTTTGATAAAAGATATATACGATATTCCATACTTTTCGGACACCCTGTATATTTTATTTATAGCTTACCAGATTTAGAGTGCAAAATAAAAATTATTCAATACACCACTAAGTATGTATTTACAGTATTTTGTGTACTTACTTGACAGTCAGCCCTATTGGTTGTTTAACATTCAGAGGGTTAAACATTTACTATAAATCAAAATCTTCATCCATAGAATGTCCAAATTTATAATTGATTTCGAAAGACAATAAAAAATAGAGGACAATCCTTAAACGTATAACTAAGCCATATACATTCCCTAGCATCAACTTGCAAATCCGGATAATGAGACGATTTATTTTAATGACTTTAATTAATGCAACTATTCCTGGTTTTTAGTACATACATTCGAATATGCGGAAATTAATGTAATTTCAAATAAAACAACAAATTTAACTCAATAGAACTTGACTACTATCTTTTGCGAAAAAAAGATGTATCTTACAATATCCGAATTATAACCAGAAAAGGTGTAGATAAGGGAAATCTGAGGGAAAATAGATCCTGGTCATGGATAGTATTGTGTTAAGTGCGGTTACTATGGTTACTAGCTTAAAAAATTGTTGACATACGTTGGATGAATTGTGATTCAAATACTTTTGAAATGATCGTCTTCCACAGAGATGAGAGACTTCTGTCACTCTGGCACTCACTACTCAGACAAGAAAATGGGGGTGGTCAGTTCCTTTAAATACCACTAGTTCAGTTGTGGAGAAAACACCAATTTCAATAATATTTATTGTAAAGACATTCGTTCAAGAGCATATAATTTCCGAATTTGTAATAAACTCACTTTACGAATGACAACGTCCAAAAGACCAAAAATCTTGCGAAAAATTGGCTAATAAAACTCTTACTTTTCTTTGACATTTTTCTCATCGCCTGGAAGAACTTTGCAACTTTTAATTATTGACCTCACAAAATACCAATATTTTTTCTGGCGGGAACCAATAAAAATAAAACTTGAAATATTTCTGGCCCCCCTCCCCCCAAAAGAATTTAATTAATTATTAAAAAGCAATCAAAGAACGCGTGTAGGTACCTAAGTGAACTATTTATATAGCAACAATACTTCCTCAGATAACGTGCCCAATATCAAAGTACAATTTCCGCCAAACGAATTATCTCTAATTAGGTATTTATTTACCTGCTCATTAAATCCCCCGCGCAAGAACGATTGGTAAAGTAACAACGTGCAGTAAGCAACAAGTAGCGCCACAAAAAATGTCTGAAAAACTCGCCTTCCGTGCATATTGAACTTACGGGGGACGGGCGCACAAAAATTTTTAAAAATTGACGCGCAAACACATGTTCATACTATAAATAAAAACATACGGTAGAAGACGCGATCTTTGTACCGCACATTTCGAACACTCCATACATACTAAACAGAAAATGTAAATAACAAGAAGCTGCTGGTACGACCTGTTTGTATGCGCCTCTCACTCGCACGCTTATGTTGCTCGAACGGGGGCTCCCCCTGCACTCTCTAAACTTCACGTGCACGCTTAAACGAGGAAAAAAAAAAGGTCTCCCTCGACAATTTTGCCTATAGCTATACCTATTCATTATTTTCTCTATTATTCTTTTTACCTGTTGTGCTCATCTCGAGATGGAAGATGGTACCTGCGATTTCCGAAATTCGGCACTCTTAGAGCAGGTGGTCACCATTAGCATATCGTTTCGCAATTAGTGCATTGTACCGAAAACAAGGTCAAATCTTTTCATTACACAATTTATTGACCTTTTCTTCGTTTTTTAAATGAAAGATACTGTTTACGATCGCCGTAAAGAAGGGGTGGGTTTTGGAAACACGACTGTCAAAATTGTAGAGTTCAATCCAGTTTTGATCCAATTCAAGTAAAGATGATTTTTTAATTGGTCAGAACATTCGCACTTTTGTTTTTCCATTATTGTCGATTTTTGAAATTTTCTTCCTGAATGTGATGGTTTTTATCCTATATTTAGAATATAGTCCAGTAAATGCTATTAATCCTTAAATATGTATTTGATGTGGTTTGCGATTTTATTGGCCTTAATTAATTTTTAAATTTCCGACTTTCACCTACACTACCTACTCCTGATAAGGTTTACAGAGTTGTGCAATTTTAATGTTATTAATCAATCAAATTTCTCTTTATTTTACATTGGAGAATTGAATTGCATATTACCAGAGCTGGGCAGTATTCGATTTTGTAAATACTTTTTAGTATTCAAATACTTTGTAAATAATTAGATACTTTTATGGAAGCAGTATTTGTTTTTGTAACTCAAATACTTTCACAAATATTTAGTATTCGAATACTTCGCATAGTATTTGAATACTTAACCTTCCTTTTTTTTACCAAAAATCGACTACTCCAAAATTTCTCGGGAAATAGTATCATTAGGAGTCCGGAAAGCAGGCTTTTTCCGTGCGCGTGGCAAAGTCATGCAAGCACGGAAAAAGCATTTCTGGACGTGTAATGAACGATACTTTTTATTATACTTCTTTTAAATCGATAACATAAAAAACAACAAACTCGCTAACATTTTTATTTTGTAACAGTTATACCTATAGAAAGTGCGTTTTCATGGTTACTCTCAAATCATTTCAAAGGAGATTTGTTTAATTAGTTTATTTCAGATAAGGTTGACGAAACGTCAAAAAATGTCACAAATTCTCAAAGAAGTTTATCTAATAATTCAAACATCTACGAATTAAAACGCAAAATACTTACATATGAAACATTACAACGTATATAGATTTTCTGAAAATTAGTTTACTTCCCTGTAAATTTGTATTTTAAAGCAATATTTTGGGTATTTATATTCAGCGCACGGAAAGAATCAATGGGACCGGGAATAGTAGATTACATACCGAGCTGGGAGGTGGTTCATTACCTACCCCGAGGGCTTAAGGTATAAGCGCGAGGCGTTGGTTATGAACCACTGACCAGCGAGGTTTGTATACTATTTTACTCACAATCGATCATTTAAGGTAAAGTATATAATTCAACAAGGTGTTACTTTAACTGTCAATAATAGTGACACCGCCAATGTAACAATTAATGTTTACAACAATAGCAAATAGTTTCGTTCTTCTTCGTAATTTGCTATTGTTGTAAACATTAATGGTTACATTGGCGGTGTCACTATTAGTATAAGTTTCATATAAGGATAATATGAATAGCATTTGCAGGTAAGGAAAGTGACAGATGCTAGCCGGGAGTGACAGCTAGCCGGGAAAGTGACAGCTAGCCGGGAAAGTTACTTTCCCGGCTAAGGTGAGTAATGAGTCGCTTCGCAACCGCTATGAAGGTTAGGAATTCAGATAATACTAACCGATTGTGAGTAAAAGTTTTTCCATCCGCTAGCTTGGAAAAGGCCGGATACCATTATTTCTAATACAGGTGTAAATAAGGTGATTTTAATGTAGTATAATAAAAACACTTTTTCTTATTAATTTTGGTGCGTAGAATCCAAAACAATTCGCACTTTTTCGATCAGACTTCTCAATCAAAAGTTATAGACCAATTTCGAAAGAAAATTCAAAGGGCTGTAACTTTTGAACTAGTAGCCCAATCTTGGAACTGTTTGAAATTATGGATTCTACAGGCCACATTCTATAAGAAAATTTTTTTCCGGGTCGATCTGAGACAATTTTTTTTTCGGGGCTCAAAAAAAGGCAGTGTATAACCTTCCTTTTTTACCAAAAATCGACTGCACCAAAATTTCTCGGGAAAACACTTTTTCTTATTAATTTTGGTGCGTAGAATCCAAAACAATTCGTACTTTTTCGATCAGACTTCTCAATCAAAAGTTATAGACTAGAAACCAATTTCGAAAGAAAATTCAAAGGGCTGTAACTTTTGAACTAGTAGCCCAATCTTCAAATGTTTGAAATTATGGACTCTCGATCGATCTCGATCTCAGACAATTTTTTTTCCGGCCTCAAAAAAAGGCAGTACTTTTAAGTTATTCAAATATTTGAGAACAATTTAGAAATGTTTAGGGAAAGTTTCCATTGTCACAAAATCAAATATAAAAATCCGATACAACTGAATACCGAACGATCCTGGAGTGAAACTTTTTGACTCGATAGTCCACGTAACTTAAAAACAATAGGGACCTTTCATATATCCTTAAGACCATTGTGTACCAATTTTCAAAGCGATCGCACGTTTCTAAACAAGTTATCATGCACACGGACAAACGGATGGTCAAAAATGGATCTGTTCCAAAATCGCTAGGATTAATTTCAGAAAGACGTACGTATCATGTGCACGACGCTTTGAAAACTGGTACACGTATTCTTAAGGATATAACTGGTATAAGAAAGGTCCTGGTAGGTACCTCCTATATAATAATAACGATATGCTTTTACTCCCCTTAAATTTGTATATAACAATAGAAATATAAAAAAAGCTAACCCCATACAAAGTATAACTTGATTTTTTAAGTAGTATTAAGCCTTTTATCTAGTATACTATTTTAAATTTTTAATATATTTGAGTGACAAGTATTTGAATACTTTTTATAGTATTCGAATACCTTTGAAAGTATTCGAATACATTCTAAAGTATGTGAATACTTATTTTTTTAAGTATTTGAATACTTTTCAATGTATCTGTATCTAGTATTCGCTTGCGCTGGATGTAAAAGTATTTAGTATTCAAATACTTTTTGAAAGTATTCTGCCCAGCTCTGCATAGTACCATTAAAAAATTAATGGATATAGAAAATGGATGGAGTCTATTGCTGTGGCTCTTAAGGTACATTTTTGAAAAGCGACGACACCCGTAGGTACTCTGCGTTCTCCCCGTGTTAAATGGTAGTGTACCTGTAAGCGCCGTTTAACCGCCACCAGATCGTCAGATTTCCACCCAGATGGCAACCTTGAGGAGCCTAGGAAAGCAGTCTTTCCCTGCACTACCTTTATAGTGTGTAGCCTGTGGGAGGTTGCCAACCACCTCCTTCAACCACACCACTAAAGGGAATGGTTGTTCTCGCACGACGTGATTCAAGGTTTAGTTATTAGTGAGGTTAGGTTAGTGTGATAGTTAGGTTAGGTTACAGAAATACGTATCTCCGTCTACAATAAAAACAGTTATACATATATTTAAAAAAAGTTGACAGTATGCTTAAATTTAGGAAATTGTGGTATTCTCATCTGCATATTTCTGAACCGGTCCCCAATCCATCTTTGAACAAAAATCAACGCCTGGAAACAAAATACAATGTAGTGAGAGAAACCTGGTGGGATCAACTTTGAGATCGAACCCCTCTATCTCGATAATATTTTTGTTTTGGTACCCGAATGAAACCTGAAATGTTTAAAAAATAATCAGTGCCATAAGCACTTACATACTCACCTGCTCCTTGATTGTATCCCGTTTAACCAGGTTCAGCTTCTCTTCGTGCGAATGAAATTCTGCTATCCTCGTCATGGACACGTTTAGCAAGTGCTCTGAAGGAAAAAGGTGGGAGTAGTGAATTTATTAGATGGGTCTTTACCAATGATGAAACCCACAGTAACATCGTCAGGTTCTAATATACTATCGGAGGTATGCAAAAATTTCACCCCACTGTAATGTTTCAAACTGTAAAGAAGTTTAATGAAAGTAATTTCACCTGATGTAGGGAAGCATTTTCACTCCCAAAGGTCTGCTGATACAAATTCCGGCACCTCCGGTTGCGAACCAAAAATTAACAGTTTCCTGTGAAACTGGCTGTTATTCCTCCGTATCAAAATGAAACTATTACCACCATTCTTTTTATTATTGTTGCATTGTATCGGGTGGAATAACTATTCCTCCCCAGATACCAATCAGCTTCGGGATCGTACCCTTTGAGCATCTCGATCAAGTTTGGGATGTTGACGTAGTTATCGTCGTCGAAATGGCAAAACCACCTAAGGCGAATAACAATGGGTTAAAATGCAGGTACACGAATGCCACTTGGGTACGTTTTGTTGGTGGTCATAAACGTATTGATTTCCACTCCCATTTTACAGCTCAAATCTCTTCGGAAGTGCGTGGGCGGACAGTAAGTGTTGATCATGTGACGGTCTAAAATTAATCAACATTAAATTAAGTGAAATCGATTTTCACTGAGTTTACCGGTTATCATCTGGAGAACGAGGTCATCGGCGTCAGTGAAAAACCAGATCTGAAATAATTGTTAACACGATGCGTAACGATTATCGTTCATTAACGATTTGGTACCTGATCGTTTGCTAACGGGAACCACGTTTGCAAAATCATCGGCAATCTTGTCTGGTGGAAACTGCTCGATGTTTTCACTGCAATGTAGACATCATCTAACGTAATGTGATTGGGCCTTGAGATCGTGCTACCTATCTTAAAATCAAAATGAAAGGTTCTCCCTTCATGCTGAAAGCAACGTATCATAGCATTTCAAGATATAGTTCACTTTACCTTCAAGTTAGGATGTGAAATCAATATGTATAACGGTGCAAGACAGCTTGCAATAACTATAAGTAGTTTAAACATATTGCCTAAAATCTGACTTTTTCCCATTTTTCGCGTTTATCTCTATGGTGAATATCTATAGCGGTGTCTTTGGATTTTTTATCTCTAATGCTTTCATTTGTACTGACGCAAAGCGAGGTTCCCGCCCTCAGTCATCAAATAGCGTTATCTCCCTTATAAAGGTATAGATCCATTTGTTTTGTTATATCTAAAAACATAGCAACGCAAATCTGGAGTGATATGAATAACAAACAGACAGTAGTGTGATAAATAGAGCATAAATTTTATTTAACCACCAAAATAGAAATTCACTTTAATGATGAGACTGTGGTGTTTTGATTTTCTGTTATTAATCAATTTGAAAGGGTATGCCTCCCTCCCCCCCACACACACAATATTAACAAGATGCTCACTAATTTCTAATTTGCCTAAACCTTATACTGTATGGGCAGTCCATATTATGAACTCGCTTGTTTCACATTTGTAATGAAGGGGTGGAAGGGTTGGTATTTTATAGAAGGGAAGTAGCTGATCAAAATGGGGACTAATTGTTGGTCGGAACTTATTATTAAGATGCGACAAATGTATTGTAAACTCAACTTTTATCAAAAACCGCGATCACCTCCAGTGAATTAGGTAAATCGTCTGGGTACCTACTGCAAAAAATTCCAGGACTCTAGGACCATTCCCCTGGAAGTACTTCGAAACGGCAGAAGTGGATCCGGGCGGACGGACGGACGAAACACAAACAATAGCACATTTTTAATTCTTAAAAAATGTGCTATTATTTGCGTTTTGTCCGGACCCACTTCTACCGTTTCGAACTACTTCTAGGGGAATGGTCCTAGAGTCCTGGAATTTTTTTGCAGTAGGTAGCCTATATTTAATAAAGGATTTAAACAATGCCTATGCATTGAAGGTGTGCCAGACGGCCATCAAATTGCGCTGTCCCCCTCCCCCCTCCGAATTATTTCGCGAGATGCTGGTTTTGAAAGTAAAACGTGCATAACTTTTACATACGACCACCAATTGGTCTCAGATTTTGCATATTCATGCCTTTAGTGGTGCCAAATTAAACTTTAGAAAGGGGGGGGGGGAAGTAAACGCATGTTATACCCTTCATGATATTCTAAAGAAAGATCTCATCGAAATAAATTGGTTTGTACAAACTATAACTTAATTTTATCTCTCATTGTATTCTGATTAAAGGTCTCAATGAAAGGAACCGTTTTCTACGAAATACTACCCTTCTTTTTGTCCTCCTCTTATCAAAGTGCGGGGCGAAGGATGAGGGGGAGTGGAACTAGTTTTATCTTTCATGGTACTCTAATGAAAGGTCTCAATGGAAGGAATTAATTTCTACCAACTATACCCCTCCTCCTCGACTTCTTGTAACTTGTGACAATAACATAGTACTTATGTTGGACTACGTTATCCCAAAACAAACCATTAATGTCTGTATTTAATTAAACAGTAGTCAATTTAATGAATAATGAACAAGTCTTTAGCATTTAAATAAACCAAGCGTTATTTATACACCAAATTTTCTCGAGTATTCCGTTTTTATGCGCCTCGGTGACGCCGATTACGTACAATATTTTTAATTGCCATACATTTGTATATTATACGGAATCTTCAATCGTTTTACTTGTTGTAGGGTATGTCCTTTTCATCGTGGAACAGAGATCGGCATTCGGAAATAAGATGCAGTGCAGAGACATCAACCTAAAAAATCACTGACTACATAGTCCAAAGCTCCAAACAAATTAGCTAACCTAGTAGGGTCGGTTATTAGATCGAACCCTTCAATATCCAGGATATTTGGGCCTTTATAACTGAGTACGATCTGTAATTTTACATATTTGATAAAATTCATATTTAATAACAAGTTAGGTAGGTACCTCATCCTCGATGGTTTCTCTAGGGAACGATTTAAACTTTTCGAAGTGGGAGTGAAATTTATCTATAACCGTTAACGATATGTTCTGCAAGTGTGCTATATAGGCTACTGTTACATCATCCCCATTGATCACAGCGTAGCAGGTGCGCATAAATTGGTCGCCACTGTAATAATCCAAATATATCAAATTACTACTACCATGTTGCTATCAAACAGTGCTGGATGCAGATTCCAATTAAACCTCACTTTAAAAAATCGAATGGGAAGAAAGCTTTCTGGACGATTTTTGTTCCCAGTGGCGTGACTGCTGCTTAGAAGATTACCCCAGTAGGACTTTCATACTTACATTGTAAATGGCTTCATTTTCGTAACTAGAGGTCTGCTAATACAAATCCCTGCGCCTCCCGTTCCAAACCATAACTTTGTTTTTGTCTGGAGATAAAGAAATAGACGGTGTTACGAATATAGTAGGCTTCGCTATTTCATTTAAGGGTTTTGAACTCTCTTAATGGCACATCATATGGATTCTTTACCAAAAATCAAACTTTTTTATAAACTTCCTAAATTATCCCGGCTAGCATGACTATTTTCTACTTAATGCAGAACTTCTTTGTCCTTAAAATTTGTATAGTTAATTGAATATTTTGCTTGCCAAATCACACACCAAATTGCTACGACGTTTTGAATATATTGATTTAAAAAATTTACGACGTTCTCTTTCCAAACACATATTCCTTTTTACAAATTTTCCTTAGGAAATTCTAAGTAATTAAATTGCAAAGAAAGTGTTGAATGAATTATTCTACCAATCCCCCCCAAAGTTTCCCTAGTGAGTTATCTCGTTCTTACTAAGAAATGTAATACATATCAATCTATTAAATCTATTAAAAAAGATTTTAGTTACACATGTAATTGTTTGAAGTTTGCACCAAAGATAAAATAGTTTAAAATGACCTATTACCTTGGTTTTTTTGTTGTACACTGGATATTTATACTTTATGCTAGGCTTTCCCAAATACCAATCGCCATTGGGATCGTAACCATTCAATACATCCACCAATTTCGGAATGTTAACGTAGTTATCGTCATCAAAATGACAAAACCACCTAGAATTCTCTGTGATGGTGTTTTTTTGCAAAACTTGCTCTTACCTGCTCTTAGATACCGTCAGAAATGTATTGATTTCGACCCCCATCTTGCAACACAGATCTCTGATGGAGTGTGACCTTCCACATTTGGTGTTAATCATGTGGTCGTCTTTGTAAAGCAAATTTTAAAATTAAGTTGATTGTACCAGGTGAATATTTTACCTGTTAAGTTTTGGAGATTCTCGTCATTAACATCGGTGAAGAACCATGTCTGAAAACAAAGAATTATGTTTTTCATTTGCATTAAACTTGACAGAAGGGATTAATTTATTAATATAATAAAATATCAAAAGTATCTCTTTTTAAAAATCGAATTGAAGACATTCTTAGGAATCAATTTTTCTAGAAACCCGGTAAAGGAAGAGTCTGCATCCTTCGATGAATCCGTTTTGAACATATTCGAATGTTAACTTAGAAGTTTCAGAAATTTTGTTTTTTGGAAAATTTCTTGCAAAATTCTAAATAACTGTTTCAGATGTCTCCTTACTATAAACCATTTCGGAAACCTTTCTCGAGAAATTCTATTTAGATCTTCTATGGATTGTAAGCAGTTTTTTTTGAAAATCTCTTCTTACTATCTATAGCAATATAGCTCTATACATTTTTTCTGGGAATTTCCTTTACGACTATTTTAATACGAGGGCGGTTTTTTTAATTACTTGCCCAACCTGATAATGACTACACACAAACAATTTCATCTTGACTGTCAAATAATTACTAGTGTAATAACTAGTTTGACTTAATTCTGTGCGGATCCAGAACATTGGGCAGTGTTGGCAATATTTTTGTTCCGAAAAATGAATGAACTAAGTTCCTCCCCAAAGAAAGAAATGGTGCGAAAGTTATTAATGAACAAAAATCCTAGGTGTACCTACTAACAGCCCATTATCTTATGCATGGAATGAATGAATTATTTGGGCTCTCCACACCCCCCACCCAAACCATGTCTTAGGGAGAATGGATAGCAACCATTTTTTGGGACTATGAGGACGTTTTTCTTATTAAATATATGACAAAAGGGACCACGATGAATGATACGGTTTCTGGAATCATGATTGAACGTCAAGAAGATCCTTGCAGCGAAACGACTTTAAATTTTTCTGAAATTGGATACTAACACTTACATAATCCACCCAGAATTACTGTCACGTTTACAAAATTTTGTCGTAGATAATTAAGATTCGGTGTAAGTACAATAAAGTTTAGGAAAAAAAACAGAGACAGGCTGGAAGAATGGAATAGTAGAAGAAATAAGTTGAACGTGAATTCAAAAAAGTGACAAATGTTTTAAGATACCAAACGCCAAGCATTTAGATATAAAACTCACCTGCTTTTTCGCCATTTGAAACCACGTTTTAAGTATAACTGCGAGCCTTCCGTTGTGGTTCCGCTTTCCTGTTTTAACTGCAATGTATACATCATCTAATGTTGTAGATTTGGGAGAATTCGTGGTGAGGTACGGTACGGTCTTCTCTGCGTTTTCGGTGGTCTGCGGGCAAGTCAATTATTTTTAGCGCGTTTTTGGAAAAAAAAATACGCTATTATATTCGTTACGGCAGGCTGGCTGTCCGACTGAGATCTCAGCAATTACAATAGCTTAAAGAGACATCAAATGTTCACTAAAAGCTTTCTGATTTAGTGTAGATGTGCAGGCTCTAGTCTATTTTGAGTGAGATCGATAATTTTAAACTTTTGCTAATGAAATACGGATCTGCATTACCAAAAATGCGCTTTCATCATGGATATGATGATTTACAACTTGTTTTGTTAATGCATCAACTTTGAAACACTAGAGTGAGGTTTTTTGATATCATGAATAGACCAAAAACACTGTACACATTACGTTAAAAAATCACTGGAAAGATTTACATTTACATTTTTTCCTGTCGTTTGTATGGGACCGTAGGACAAATAGTAAAGTGTCACAGTGAGATCTGTGGGTCAAGTTGGGAAGCAGTTTTGTTTAATGTACTTCAAAGCCAGTCAGCCCCAGCACCCCAGAAGCTATAAATATGCATAACGTTTTGGAGCGTTATGAAACTTATTGTTAGTTAGAAAGCTCAGTTAATATGTTCATCGTACCATCAACCTTGCCGCAATTTTGGGCCCAGATACGCCAATAAAATCAATTGAATTCAAAATTCTAGTGAATCATTTTACGTTCCCAAACAGAAAAGACGTAAAGCCAGTCTTCATCCGTGAGCGAGATGTTCCTTTTGCATTGCGGGAAAAGGTTGAAAGAGAACTTGAAAGTGAAGAAGTTATCAGTCCGATTACCACCCAAATCGTTCACCTGCGACAAATGACCTCTTCGCGATTGCTGAGGTATGCTCCTCCTCTTAGGGGGCTTCACTACATAGTTCGTTGCAAAAAGGGAAAAGAGAATATGTTACATGAGTCTACAGAAATTGCTATAGACAAAGAAGTCAACGACCCTGCTCCAGATTTCGAGCATACCCAAACACAGTTGCCGAGGAAACCCCTACCTGATCTTTTGCTAACGGCCATCTTGTCTGGTGGAAACCGCTCAATGTTTTCACTGTAATGTAGGTATCATCTAGTGTAATGTCATCGGACTTTGAGGTGGCACCACCTATTTTAAAACTAAAGATTCCCCCTTCGTGCTGAAAGCAACGTGTTGATAATAGCAATTGCAGATAGTTCAATTTACCTGCAAGTAAGGATTAAGATGTGAAATCAATATGTACAACAGTGCAACACCGCTTGTAATTATTATAAGTAGTTTATGGTTTAAAATCAGACTGCTTGCCATTTTTCGTTCACGTTCTCATTTGTTCTGATAAGCGAGCGTTCATGAGTACCTAATAAAATAGCGTTATCTTCCTTTCGGAGGAATAAATATTTATGCTTTGTCCTAAACACCTAGCCTAGGCAGTGAATAACAAACAAATAGAAAATTAACTGAATCGTATCGGGTTGCAAATTTTCCTAAAAACTGGTATTTAAATCTGTTGTCACGACCCTTACAACGTATGTTCTTCCAAATCCATTTAGGAATTCTTGGAGATAAGAATCTTTCTCTAACCCCCTTCGAAGCCGTCGATAAAATCTTTTTGGAATACTAGCCCTTTAGGGTCGAAAACATGTCAGGAGAACAGGGAAACTATCCCCCCGCCACTTTTTTGTGACCTCACAAGGTCCCAAAGTCATGTAACGTTGCAATCCCAAGATTTCCCTATTCGACAACAAGTTAACCTTGGAAAACCAAATGAAATTGTTTTATGGCCGTGGCAAGAAATTCCGTGGCCTTGGTGAAGGAAATTTATGGGCCGTGGTCGTGGCCTTGATACAGTAACTAAAGAGTGTTCTTCTTTTATGTGGCAAGGAATTTCGCTGGTGAAAAAACAATGGTCACGCGCTCGATCGTTATGGTTAAAAGTCTTCTGTTAAGCATTATGGTGTTCTTTCTTTCTTTATTTCTTTAATTCCATTTCGATTACATTAAGTAATATTGGATTGTCAATTAGTGATCGTATAAATAAGTGTAAAAAGACATGGAGACAGATCAGTACAGTAACAGTAACAAACAAACATTAAAAATAAGGTTATCACAGCTTTTGAACCAAATACTCTCCAATACTGTAGTAGGGGTGATCGACGAACAGGTTTTGGGCTATTTTCTTGAACTCCCTCGAGGAGGCGCAGTTGCGGATGTGTGGTGGAAGATGGTTGAAAAGTTTTTGTGGCCATATATCTTGATGAATGTTCCTGTAGGTAGTTGTATTATCTAGATGATCTGTTACAATGTAAGTACCTGTTTGATTCTTATTTCAATTGTTTTTCAATTTTTTAGCATGGTCGCCATTCTAACTTAATTTTATTTCTAGACGACTTGGTACAGTAAGCCAAGAGTTCCAAAAAAGTGCAGAATTTCTAGAACCACTGAAGAAGATGAAGCAAATTCCAATTATATTACCACATTGAAGTTTTAATAATAATTCCAAGTACAGGAGCAGTCCCACTGAAGATTGGTTTTGACGTTTAAAGGATCTCGAACCTCAAAATTAAAATACTTCTGTCTCTACTTGGGTTTTGAGGTCGTTTCGCTTTACAATTGGAATATAGCCCCGAGAAAAATACCAATACATTTCAGAACTTAGAAAAGTTTTCGAGTTTAATAAACTTTTTTTTAAATTCTGAAACGTATATTCAAATACCTTCCTAAACATAAAGCCTAAAAATTTATTTAAGAGAGAGAAAGATGTTTATGAATGTACTTTATCGAGCTACAAAGTTAAACTCGAAAACTTTCCATAGAAGCTTTTCCTTCCAATTTCGAACGTTTTCGTCTACTTGTTTATTACTATTTAAATAAATTAAATGTATGACCTACCACAACGAGTAATAAATTGTGTCGCTTAAAGTAAAGATAAACATATGTTATCTAAAATGTCATAAAACAATTTACACGTAAAAATAATAAGAGAGCTATACCTACTTAGCTTGGGTGGTGAGACGTAGGTCACCGCTTTAAGGTAGGTCACTGGGTCAACGGATCCATACTCCCACTCCGCATAAGTATGTAAAAATGGCAGCCAATAGACGAATCGTAATGTAAAAATAAGCTTTTGTAATACACGAGGAGTGAGTTCTTGTAAAAATGACTTGTAATTCTTAAGACAAGGAAGAGTATATTTTTATGTATGTGAATTTTGGATTCTGGATTACAATAGGAGGGTGGACAGGAGCCACGCGCGTATCTAGGCCTCAAATTCAATCGATACCTGATCGACTTTGCTCTCGGTATTAATGTAAATGTGAACTCCATCAGAGACAAAACTGATGAATTCGATATTGAACTTCGGTTATCAGTAATTAACATTTTGGTCCTTCAGCCACAATTCAGTCATTGTTAAGCCACATAATTAGATACGTGGATACTTGCTTGTTCTAGCCTGGAATCGCATCGATGGGAGCTCTCGTCGAGGACATACATTAATACTCAAGATAACATTTTGTTTTATAATTTCTTGACGTTGAATTGAATCACAGTTACAGCTCCCACACTAGAAATTGTGAGAATTACAATTTAATATCTAACTTATGATTGACCAAAACAAACCATTAACGTCAATGGTCAATTTAAACATAGTTAACAAGTCTTTATCCTTCGAATAAACAAAGCGTTATATTCATTTTCTCGAATTTATGCGCCACGATGACGCCGCATTGTTACACAGTTATATATATCTACACCAAAATGAAACACTTATAATTGACAAGAATTTGTGTATTATGCACGAGTGTTGAGTATTTTTAGTCGGTATAGTATACGTCCTTTTCATTGTGGTACAGAGATCTGCATTCGGAAATAAAACACAGTGCAGAGACATAAACCTAAAAAAAAAATTACATCGCTCAAACAACAAGCTATGGCTAACCTAGTGGGGTCGGTTTCAAGATCAAATCCTTCTATCTCCAAAATATTTTCACCTTTATAACTGAGTACGATCTGCAATTTTGCGTATGTCATAAAATTCCTTAATATAAATCACAACTGACCTCCTTCTCGATGGTTTCTCTAGGGATGCACTTAAACTGTTCGTAGTGGGAGTGAAATCTGTCTATAACCGTCAATGATATGTTCTGCGCGTGTAGTATGTAGCCCATAGTAGCATCATCCCCTATGGCCACAAGATCGCAGGTGCGCATAAATTGGTCGCCACTGTAATAATTCAAATTAATTCACCAAATAATAAAAAATTGACCACCCTGTAAGTTTACCGAGCTGGCAAAGCTATAGGGATTGCAAGAAAATACCAAAAAATATGGTCTTATTATACTCCTAACTGTTGAAACAGGGTTTGTTGATTTTTTTGGTTTCGGAAATTCTTGGGAGACATTTCATAACTTATACATTCGATATTTCTCCAGATACGTCTAAAAGTTCTTCAGAAAATGCTTTAGACATTCTTTGGTAGATATTTACTAATTTTCAGTGAAATTCTTCAACAGGGCGCCAGTATTTTTTTCCAAAAAAGAGGTTCAAATTAAGATAAAGCATAGATTATCCGTCATTCTTTTTGTGATAGCACTACAAAATGCCGGAAATTTTTGGACAATTTTCTTCTCCGTTGCATGGCTACTACTTAATCTGAATCATTAGTAAGACTTTAATACTTACATTGTGAATGGTTTCATTTTCGTAACTAGGGGTCTGCTAATACAAACCCCTGCGCCTCCCGTTCCAAACCAGAATCTTGTCGTTTTCTAGAGAATAAAAAATAGACGTTATTACGGAATTATTTATAATTAGGATGGTGGAGCAGATACTCGCCACAAAAACAGATCTGTAGGGTTTACGGCGATTTTAGCAGAACCTTTCCACATAAAAAATAGTTTATTACCTTGGTTTCGTTGTGGGTCACTATAGCTGGATGGTCTAAGCTAAGTTTTCCCAAATACCAATCCGCATCAGGATCGTAACCATTCAGTACATCCACTAATTTTGGAATGTTGATGTAGTTGTCGTCATCAAAATGACAAAACCACCTACAATTACATTCTGTGATGGTGCCTTTTTTTTCATAACCAACCCTTACTTGCTCTCAGATGCCGTCATGAATGTACTGATTTCAACCCCCATTTTGCAGCACAGATCTCTTCGGGAGTGTGACTCTCCGCATTTGGTGTTAATCATGTGACCGTCTTCGTAAAGTAAATTTTAAAATTAACTTGAATGTACAAAATGAATAATTTACCTGTTAAGTTTTGTAGTTTCTCGTCCTCCACGTCGGTGAAAAACCAAGTCTGTAAACAAACAATTAAGTTTGATGCTTTTTCCTTTTACTTGAATTAAACTTGAGCTATACGGGAATGGGATTAATGAGCCTTTATTTAGTATTGTTACTCCAATACGTGATTAAATTTACCTTACAGAATTATCCATAACACACAGAGGGCTGTGACTATGTGCCAAAAGTATTACAGACACCCTTAAAAGATCAAGACGATGCAAGTAAAATAAAAACAATTTTGAATTTTTATATTTACGAGTTTTAATTTTATTGAATATATTTCTAGAAGTTCATAGGAAACATTTTCCTGTATCCTATGAAAAATACGTTTTGAACATATTCCAGTTTCCATGAAAACTTCCTTTTTGGATTTCAGAAACCCGGGATTTTGTCTTCTAAAAATAAAATCGTACCCTGCTTTCAAATGACATTTTTTTTAACCCTCGATGCATGCAATTCTCAATTGCGAGGGTTGTAACTTTTGTGGTGCACGAAATATTTTTGTTTCTTTCACCGATTAAGTTTAAATGATGTACAAACAACCCCCCAATTGCCTTCTAAAGATAAAATCGCACCTGATGTACAAACAACCCCCCAATTGCCTTCTAAAGATAAAATCGCACCCCGTTCCCAAACTTCATATTTTTTTAGAAAATTCTTCTATGCATGTATAGCAATTCTCAATTACGGGGGTTGTAACTTTTGTGGTACACGAAATATTTTTGTTTCTTTCACCGATTACGTTTAAATGATGTACAAACAACCCCCCAATTGCCTTCTAAAGATAAAATCGCTCCCCGTTCTCAAGTTTCATATTTTTAAGAAAATTCTCCTATACATGTATAGCAATTCTCAATTGCGGGGGTTGTAACTTTTGTGGTACACGAAATATTTTTGTTTCTTTCACCGATTACGTTTAAATGATGTACAAACAACCCCCCAATTGCCTTCTAAAGATAAAATCGCTCTCCGTTCTCAAGTTTCATATTTTTAAGAAAATTCTCCTATACATGTATAGCAATTCTCAATTGCGGGGGTTGTAACTTTTGTGGTACACGAAATATTTTTGTTTCTTTCATCGATTACGTTTAAATGATGTACAAACAACCCCCCAATTGCCTTCTAAAGATAAAATCGCTCCCCGTTCTCAAGTTTCATATTTTCAAGAAAATTCTCCTATACATGTATAGCAATTCTCAATTGCGGGGGTTGTAACTTTTGTGGTACACGAAATATTTTTGTTTCTTTCACCGATTACGTTTAAATGATGTACAAACAACCCCCCAATTGCATTCTAAAGATAAAATCGCACCCCGTTCTCAAGTTTCATATTTTTAAGAAAATTCTCCTATACATGTATAGCAATTCTCAATTACGGGGGTTGTAACTATTGTGGTACACGATTTATTTTTGTTTCTTTCACCGATTAAGTTTAAATGATATACAAACAACCCCGCAATTGCCTTCTAAAGATAAAATCGCACCCCGTTCCCAAACTTCATATTTTTTTAGAAAATTCTTCTATGCATGTATAGCAATTCTCAATTACGGGGGTTGTAACTTTTGTGGTACACGAAATATTTTTGTTTCTTTCACCGATTACGTTTAAATGATGTACAAACAACCCCCCAATTGCCTTCTAAAGATAAAATCGCTCCCCGTTCTCAAGTTTCATATTTTTAAGAAAATTCTCCTATACATGTATAGCAATTCTCAATTGCGGGGGTTGTAACTTTTGTGGTGCACGAAATATTTTTGTTTCTTTCACCGATTACTTTAAATGATGTAGAAACAACCCCCCAATTGCATTCTAAAGATAAAATCGCACCCCGTTCTCAAGTTTCATATTTTTAAGAAAATTCTCCTATACCTGTATAGCAATTCTCAATTGCAGGGGTTGTAACTTTTGTGGTCCACTAAATATTTTTGTTTCTTTCACCGATTACTTTTAAATGATGTACAAACAACCCCCCCAATTGCCTTCTAAAGATAAAATCGCACCCCGTTCTCACGTTTCATATTTTTAAGAAAATTCTCGTATACATGTATAGCAATTCTCAATTGCAGGGGTTGTAACTTTTGTGGTGCACTAAATATTTTTGTTTCTTTCACCGATTACTTTTAAATGATGGACAAACAACCCCCCCCAATTGCCTTCTAAAGATAAAATCGCACCCCGTTCTCACGTTTCATATTTTTAGGAAAATTCTCCTATACATGTATAGCAATTCTCAATTACGGGGGTTGTAACTTTTGTGGTACACGATTTATTTTTGTTTCTTTCACCGATTAAGTTTAAATGATATACAAACAACCCCCCAATTGCCTTCTAAAGATAAAATCGCACCCCGTTCCCAAACTTCATATTTTTTTAGAAAAGTCTTCTATGCATGTATAGCAATTCTCAATTACGGGGGTTGTAACTATTGTGGTACACGATTTATTTTTGTTTCTTTCACCGATTAAGTTTAAATGATATACAAACAACCCCGCAATTGCCTTCTAAAGATAAAATCGCACCCCGTTCCCAAACTTCATATTTTTTTAGAAAATTCTTCTATGCATGTATAGCAATTCTCAATTACGGGGGTTGTAACTTTTGTGGTACACGAAATATTTTTGTTTCTTTCACCGATTACGTTTAAATGATGTACAAACAACCCCCCAATTGCCTTCTAAAGATAAAATCGCTCCCCGTTCTCAAGTTTCATATTTTTAAGAAAATTCTCCTATACATGTATAGCAATTCTCAATTGCGGGGGTTGTAACTTTTGTGGTACACGAAATATTTTTGTTTCTTTCACCGATTACTTTAAATGATGTAGAAACAACCCCCCAATTGCATTCTAAAGATAAAATCGCACCCCGTTCTCAAGTTTCATATTTTTAAGAAAATTCTCCTATACCTGTATAGCAATTCTCAATTGCAGGGGTTGTAACTTTTGTGGTCCACTAAATATTTTTGTTTCTTTCACCGATTACTTTTAAATGATGTACAAACAACCCCCCCAATTGCCTTCTAAAGATAAAATCGCACCCCGTTCTCACGTTTCATATTTTTAAGAAAATTCTCGTATACATGTATAGCAATTCTCAATTGCAGGGGTTGTAACTTTTGTGGTGCACTAAATATTTTTGTTTCTTTCACCGATTACTTTTAAATGATGACAAACAACCCCCCCCAATTGCCTTCTAAAGATAAAATCGCACCCCGTTCTCACGTTTCATATTTTTAAGAAAATTCTCGTATACATGTATAGCAATTCTCAATTGCAGGGGTTGTACAATGATACAAACAACCCCCCCCCAATTGCCTTCTAAAGATAAAATCGCACCCCGTTCTCACGTTTCATATTTTTAGGAAAATTCTCCTATACATGTATAGCAATTCTCAATTACGGGGGTTGTAACTATTGTGGTACACGATTTATTTTTGTTTCTTTCACCGATTAAGTTTAAATGATGTACAAACAACCCCCCAATTGCCTTCTAAAGATAAAATCGCACCCCGTTCTCAAACTTCATATTTTTTAAGAAAATTCTTCTATACATGTATAGCAATTCTCAATTACGGGGGTTGTAACTTTTGTGGTACACGAAATATTTTTGTTTCTTTCACCGATTACGTTTAAATGATGTACAAACAACCCCCCAATTGCCTTCTAAAGATAAAATCGCACCCCGTTCTCAAGTTTCATATTTTTAAGAAAATTCTCCTATACATGTATAGCAATTCTCAATTGCGGGGGTTGTAACTTTTGTGGTGCACGAAATATTTTTGTTTCTTTCACCGATTAAGTTTAAATGATGTACAAACAACCCCCCAATTGCCTTCTAAAGATAAAATCGCACCCCGTTCCCAAACTTCATATTTTTTTAGAAAATTCTTCTATGCATGTATAGCAATTCTCAATTACGGGGGTTGTAACTATTGTGGTACACGATTTATTTTTGTTTCTTTCACCGATTAAGTTTAAATGATGTACAAACAACCCCCCAATTGCCTTCTAAAGATAAAATCGCACCCCGTTCTCAAACTTCATATTTTTTAAGAAAATTCTTCTATACATGTATAGCAATTCTCAATACGGGGGTTGTAACTTTTGTGGTACACGGAATATTTTTGTTTCCTTCCCCGATTACGTTTAAATGATGTACAAACAACCCCCCAATTGCCTTCTAAAGATAAAATCGCACCCCGTTCTCCAACTTCATATTTTTTTTAGAAAATTCTTCTATGCATGTATAGCAATTCTCAATTACAGGGGTTGTAACTTTTGTGGTACACGATTTATTTTTGTTTCTTTCACCGATTAAGTTTAAATGATGTACAAACAACCACCCAATTGCATTCTAAAGATAAAATCGCACCCCGTTCTCAAGTTTCATATTTTTTAAGAAAATTCTTCTATACATGTATAGCAATTCTCAATACGGGGGTTGTAACTTTTGTGGTACACGGAATATTTTTGTTTCCTTCCCCGATTACGTTTAAATGATGTACAAACAACCCCCCAATTGCCTTCTAAAGATAAAATCTCACCCCGCCTTCAAATTTCAAATTTTTTTAACAAAATTCTTCTATGCGTGTAAAGCAATTCTCAATTGCGAGTAGTCTTCTAGTTGTCTCTTTGACACATTAAAAATCTGGGATATTATGGCACGATTTTCATTACAGCACTATTTATCGTGCAATAAAGGCGCCATGAGTTGTCATGGCGCCCAAATAGAATATGAAATCGTTTTATTTGGAACAATCGTTCGTATTCAAACAATTACTCTTATCATAATCGATTGCATTATAGACTTATGTTTTAATGTATTATTTTTGCGTAAAAATACTCATGTGCTTATTTGGGTGAAGGGTAATGGAAAGCCCTAATATTTAGATACCCAGTACGTAGTACCACCAAATTTGAGGTAGATTGTAGATAATTATGATTGGGTGTACAATAAAGTTTAGCAAATACCAAAAAGAACGTGATAAGAATGGAATAGTAGAAGAAAAAAGCTGAAGTTGAAAGAAAAGTGACAAATGTTTTAAGATACCATATGCCAAGTAATTTAGATAAAACTCACCTGCTTTTTTGCCAGTTGAAACCACGTTTGATGTATCACTGCCATCCTTCCATTGTGGTTACTCTTACTTGTTCTAACTGCGATGTATACATCATCTAATGTTGTAGGTTTCGTGGTGTGGTACGGTATGTTCTTCTTTGTATATTTGGTGACCTGCAAACAAATCAATTATTTTTTGTTATATAAATGCACCCATAGAGTGCGACTAAAAAGAAAGATTTCTACTAGGGTGTTCTACAATAAATGCTAAGAATTGTCTCAGAAGAGTTGGAAGACAATTTGTAACATGTTCACAAAGAAGATCCTTACGAATATTTCTAAAAAATCTTTACCCAGGTTATCAACAAGATCGCTGGTAGAATTCCTTAGTGGGAAGGAAGTAGGATTTCTAGAAGATGTCGTAAGGATGTATCCAAACGCGGAGTCGCGGTCATATTTTTAGAACTATGTATCTCAAAAAAATTGGAGCGATGGGATTTTTACTTGGGAATATTTCAAAATCAGGTTTTCAAGAACATATCTACAAAATGTGCGGACGAACACTAAGATATCGCAATGCGGATCACGCACAATATGAATGAATTAGATTAGTCATCTACAGGATACACTTGTAAACAGATAAGTGCCGTTAGGGATTAAAATTGATTAGATTAAATTGTTGGGCATGTGTCAATATAACTTTTTCTGTTAGTGTTAAAGTTCTCTCAACCAAATTTAGCGTGAAATGATGTGGTAGAAACACACAAATGTGCATATTATAATGTGCAGTCGTACCTTAAAATTAGTCATTTTTTGAAATTATAGTGTAAACTGGGACTTGCCAAAGAGGAAATGGCTAGGAAAATATCTACATCAGCAAAATGCTGAATGATACCTAATTTAAATTTCAGGCAAAAGCTATGCATATTGGTAGACCAAAAAGTAAATCAATGTACCATACCTGCAAATGTGTGCATCTCGTTGGTGTGTACAATAATAATAGTAACATGCAATTTCCTATGATGATAACTGTAAACAACGCTTTCAATACTGTCCTTTTCGACATCACCTATTTAATTTCTTGTACAAATAATGGGAAATATCGTTTGAAACTAACTGTTGGATAACTGTGTCAAATGATATCCGTAATCTAATCAATTTAACCTTTCCGTGCAATTGCAGGAGTTTTCCCGGAAGAAATTGGCGCAATCTAAATGTATAACAATGCACTGGTGTAAATTGTTACAGCCTCTGAGCCACAGACCATCAGCTCTGAACTATACTGAAACGCGTCCTCTGTCCGCCAGCGCGATCCGAAAGAGAGGGCCATAAGGGGGATATTTGATATGTTCTGTACACATTAATCTCAAGAGGATATTTAATGATCAGTTTCCCAGTGAAAATTTTTTTTATCTACAACTGCCCTTAACGACCTTATTATTCCACTCATTAGACACACGTTGAATAATGACCACCATTACACCACTAGTGTTGTAATGAAAAATCCTCAAAACGCAACGAAATTAAATTTTATTAAGATGCAAATTACAAAATAAATAAACAAAAACTAAACTAACATTAACTTATTTGTTAAATATATTAATAACACGACTATGACAATTAGTGATAATGAGATGAAGTTGCCTGAAATACATTTTTGTTACTAATGTTGGTTGGCCTGTTGTAGTTTCAGTGCCTATTCAAAATCTATTTTTCAAGAATGTTTAGATCTTGGTTGGAACAACTGTTGGAAACACTTTACAGCCTCAAGTCCAGCTCCATCAGACCAATCTCGCAGGATTTTTGAAGTTGTGCATTTCTTGTTTCCAACTGATGTTTCAATATAGCCTTCACATACACTGTTGGACCGCCAACCACCGTGGTCTTTCAACCACTACGACAAAAATTTTTGGGAGGGATTCTTTTGGCATTTCTACGAAATTGTTCAGAAATTCTAAAGAGGCTCCTTTACAGTGGCAGGGTTAATTCCAAACAAGCCGATTCCATTTACCACTTTTTACAGCTCCACCAAGCAAACAAGTCCGAGCGAAAATATGGTAACTAATTTTAAAAATTCGTGGCGGGAAAACGTTAAGCCAATACCTACAACGTAGGTGTGTACAGTCCGTAAAAATGTGACAGTGACAAATGTATAAATTAAATGTTTATGTTGAATCCGCTTGTTGAATCAATTTTATCCGTACGGCTAGAAAATAGAAAAAATCCTGCGCATTCCGTAGCCTGAAATATTATTAAAAGGGTCGTGGAATACTTAGACAAACAGAAAGCTACCGTATGTGTGGACAATGAACGCTCTGTTCAAGCCCATTTGGTATAACTTTTACTGAAACACTCTGTACATTTGGTGATTTCATTTTTTGAAAGTTGGTAGCGAACCTGTCTTGACAGTGACAGTACGAAAACAACCAAAATGGCCACCTTCGTGTTTGTTTATAAAACTGTTCTAACCTCAATTTACCGTTGTTGAATTTTTATATGAAAAACTGAGAATGTTCAAAGATTCTTCGCCATGAAGCAGCGTGATCGAACCGCCGACAATTGTAGACCATTTAAATTATAAGTATCCCCTTTTAGAAAATGGCAATGCAATAATACGAGTTAATCCTTTACAGCCCATCAAATTCTGAGTCTCACCGGAATAAGCTTCGAGCGAAAAAGCGTCATCGTAAGTTACCTCTCCAATATCACAGCGTAAAGGCATCTCTTGTAGGGGTTTGTCGAGCTGACCGTCGTTCCACTTCGCGACAACCTGCGCCACATCAAATTAAACGCTAAACAATGCCGTATTTACCGAGTCGTGCTCAACGAAAGCTACGAGGCGCAGTTTCAGTACTTTGATCCTTTCTTGGATATCTGCCAGGGCGATGTGGATATGTAAGTAGCCGTCGCACGAGTTTTTTATCCGTACGGTTTTTGTAGTCGCTCGTTGGAGCAATTCTCGAACTTGCATCACCAGGCAGCGTTAAAAGTCGATCCCGATAACAGTGCAGGTGAGCTGGTGGTCGTTATTCCGCAGGAAGCCGCTCATTTGGTGGCGGAAGGGACGGCCTTACGAGTCGGGATTGAGTTTTCTCTCGAGCAACCGCAAGGCGGGTTGCATTTTGTTGTACCCCCTTTGGAGGGTACTTATGCTGAAGTAAGGGTTTAGGTTTAATTGTTTTATTTAAACGGTTACAGTAGCGCCAGGTAATCTATGTTATTGTTATACTTTTTATAGGAGTGTGATCACATTTTTAAAACTTCCTGGAACATTTTAGGAACTTTCCTTTTTAAAGAAATCCAGTTCGTGTCCAGGCCCTTTCCAAAACTTTCAAAAAATATCAGTTTCATTGGCATCAGATGAATGGTAGTGTGAAATGCACAGGACAAACAGACAGACATTGGTTTTTAAAATAAATAGGTGCACGTTCAGGCTTGGATTGAGTTCCCCTATTAGCCCCCATACACAGTATTGGAAAAAATTTATAATTATATGTCTATTTGTTTTTGAAAACCTTATTACTGCATCCATTATCTTTTATTTTAAAAAATGACAAACTATTTGTGAGATCTTTTGTGTCTTAACTTATTCGTACCATAAGCAACACATTTTGTACCACTCTGTATTTTCAAATCTCGGGCTTTTTGGGTCCCTCGTTCAAGGGTGGGCCATCTTGTGGAATTTTAGAAAAATGTTTACAAACCCCCTGGAAATTATTGTTACTCTGGCATACCAAAAAATTTAAAAACGTTCCACTAAAAGGAAAATTTTGACTTGAAAATATGGACCCACTCACAAAGGGTCATATTTGGGGCGTAGTGACTTTGTTCACGATGTTTAGTTGAAGAAGGGGTCAAATGTTCCCATGAAATGGGTGTAGCTTTTGTAACTTTATTTGAACGAAGGAAAAACCAATTTTCCAGGTGACATTGCTCAGGTAGGTACTAACAGTACGAATTTGTAGCTTGAGTTTAAAAATAATCGGTGTACAGATTTAAATGGGCTTAACAATCCTTTTATTGTAAGGATTGTCATTTTTATAGTACTTCCAATATGTGTTTCGTTTACAGAATCCACAAGACACCCTTTAAATGCACAGAAGAGTATTGTAACGTAAATTTAATTACGTCGTTTATTTACAGTGAACGAACAATAAATTTACAACAGTCTTAAAATGGATTAATTTATAACAGTAATTATTATTTATCACTTACACATTATAACATAACACAAGAGCATCGAAGTTGGAACTGAACTGAAATACCCTACAATTTGTTTATATAGTAAACGACAATTATTGTGCTAGAGTATACTTAGAATGTTCTAGAATAAACACATCATTTTTCCCGGAAGGATTGCGTCTTATCCGCCTTCGCTCTTTATCGCCTATGACTAATCTTTCAAGCCGCCGCGATATCTATTGGAATTTCTGGAATATTCGCTACAGTACAGTCCTTTTTCGTTTCAAAAATTAATAAGAAGCCCTTTTCACAATTTGTGTTCATTGCATTGTAGCAATATTCATTTGCCGGAGTTGTAACTTTTGTTGCGCATCAAAAAATTTTTAAATGATAGAAGTGATAGATTATGTTCAATTGACAACCTTCCAAACGCCACCTAAAAATAAAATCTCGGCCCGTCTTGAAATATCACAATTTTTAATAAAATTAGCCCTTACATAGCAATATTATCATCCCGCCTTCATTTTTTATTTCTGATCCACAAAGTACATTAAAAATAAAAAGACCCGTGTGTCCTCAATTTTTATTTGCGAGTAAAATAAACCCAAAATAAATTATTGAAAAGCTGTGCTTTTAGTCCGAATTTGAAACGCTTCAGTCTAAATACGTCACAAACCTACAACCAATCACGTAGAAATGAGCCGGCAACCTTGTGCGAGGGTCTGACGTTTGTCGGATTTGACGTTTTAAGAGGCCTGTTTAACTGCATCTAACGCGAAAGTGAACCAAGTGACAGGTGACGCAAATTACAAATGACATTCTCCTGCTATATTGCCAATTCGTTATGTCATCTGAATGGTTCTAGGGGCTGATTGGTCGGGCTTATTACGTCACAGAGCCCGCCACAATCATATCGTTTTGAATAAACCTCTAAAACCGCACTAGTTCATTATTTTTTTGCTAGTCAGCCTCTATTTTTAAATAATCTTTTACTGTCCAAAAAAAATGTTTTATGGTTTCAGGTACACGCTTATTACATTAGAACTACGGAATTCTACTATACTGTAAACCCCCATTGCGGAAAGTAACTTTTTTTGTACAGTGTCCCATTTTTGGCACTTTCATTTTCGTAATTATTAGTGCTATCAAACAAAGTAGTATAGGAGTCATGTGTTCTTTTTGGGTCAAACTTAAAATGGTAAAATCAAAATTTGAAAATATTCGCTGGCTTAAGAGATACGGCGAAAAATTAAAAAATAAAACCATTGTCAATTTCAGAATACCCCTATAATTAATCAGAGCTTTTCTTAGTTAAAAGAGATACAGAAAAATATTCTCTTTGAAATGTAACACTTAAAAAAATGTTGATTCAAAAAAATTCAAATCTTTTTTTCAATTTTTTTTTTGTTTTTAATCATTGAACTTTTTTTCAATTGTTTTTAATCATTTTGAATAGCCCTTGTGTGTTTTTATCGGTAGTGTGAACTAAATAAGTGTAGTAGCAAAGAATACGTTATGAGTTATTCTTTGGTTGGGGTCGTTCTTCCAAAACGGTAGGTCCCACAAGCCAGCAGAGCCATTTTAGAAAAATGAAGGAAGAAATACATCAGAATTATAGGCCCTTTTTGGACACTTGAACAAATTTTCAGGCGGCATCCTTTAAAGAAAAAAACTGTGGCTCTGCTGGCTAAAGACGAAGCTAACTGATCACATGTGCGATACGCTATGCGCATGCGCAAAATTTTTGCCTTGTAATTAATATCGATCCATTAACAGTGACTGTATAAAGACAGTGTGGTCATATGCTCTATATCCGCCATGTTTTTCCCATATTCTTCATTAAGCTGATCGGTTTAATTGAATTGGTAGATTTTGGCATTTTTCTATGGTTACAATATTATTGCCACAACTGTTTGTGACTTGATCACCTTGGATTCCAAGTTAATTTCCGCCAACCCGATTTATTTGGTTAAAATATGGCGGATATCCCGCATACCAATAAAAAAACAACACCAAGGTATGACCTCTATACAGTAGGTATACAGTCACTGTAGATCCATTATAAGTCACTAAATACAGAAAGTACCGCAATCCATTGGGCCCGTGTGTTAGAGAGAGAACGCATGTTTTTTGCCCAAAAATTGCGGAAGTTACCAGATTCTAGTAACTTTAATGTTAGGGATTGTTCCACCTGTTTGGAGACATCTGTCAAGTAGGTATTTGAAATTTGAATTTTCTTTTACTAATAAATCAAATACCTATATAGCAAGTTGTTGTGTTTCAGGTTTTAAAAAAAGTAATGTTAAAAGTGTCTGAGTTGTCTATGGATCATCTCTTGTATTATAGGAGAAGAAAAGTTGAAACGATATTCCTGAATTGGAAAGAAGTACAAAAAAAATTAAAATTATTCCTCCCATTATATTATTAACGAACCTCGAGATCGTTTATAATTTCGTATTGCTGCCTGCCTGTGAGTCTGTCTGTCAGTGTGTACGATAACTTTGTGTAGAAACGTCCGATCGCTTTAAAAATTGATATACACATGTTCTTCAGGATATAACAAAGTTCGCAATTGTTTTTCGGCTACGTAGACCAACGGGCCAAATAGTTACAGACCAAAAACTGGGCAAACCTCCAAAAAGGGTTTCTAACTCTTGTTACAATGAATGTCCGGTTTTCTGTGTTAGTAAATATTCCTTAAACTTCAGGCAACTATGCAGATGCAAACAAATACTGCGCATGCGCATAACAACTTTTGTATTTGCGCAATCCTAATTTTTTATTTGTTAATATATTTAAATGAAATTTTGTATGCAGGCACCTCAAATAAAAGTAAAACTAATGCCATTTCAAAAAATTTGTGTTACAAGCTATGCTGATCAGGTGGGACAGAATCAACCCCTTTTAGGGTGTATTGTAAAAATGATGTATGTGTGAAGAATAAGAATAAGGATGCCGCCTGAAAATTTGTTCAAGTGTCCAAAAAGGGCCTATTATTATTGCTATGCGGCTAACGGATGTTAGGTCTAGGTGCTCGTCGAAACTCGGAGGTGCAATGTTTTTGATGCGCGATCGAGAACGAGTGACTCTTGCTGTGTGCACTATTTATTCGTTTCGCCTGGTTCTCCCGTCGAGACGAAAGAGAGCTAAAATCGCTCTACGTCGAGGCAGTGCAGCCGTCGCCACAGTCTTGAAAACGGCATATTTTCAAATTTTGATTTTATTGTATGAAGGTGCTACTGTAACATTTTCACAGTGGTTTAATCCACTGAAACTGACCGAGTAACGTTGTAGAGAGGCGTCCACTTGTACACTTACGGCCATGAAAACTCATCCAGGCTGTGGTTTCCTTGTGTCGACAGTTACGCCGAGCCCTGCACTTGGAAACTGGAGTTTACAGTCGACGAAGGAATGACAGCAGTGTCCAATGGGGATCTTATTGAGGTGGTATTTACCCCGGACATGCGACGGCGAACCTTCCACTACGTGCTGGGCATTCCAACTTGCGCCCCTAACATATCTCTAGCCGTCGGCCCCTTCGAAATCTACGTGGACCCCTTCATGCACGAAGTGACCCACTTCTGCCTCCCCCAGCTGCTACCCCTGCTGAAGGTGACAACACGCTACATGCACGAGGCGTTCGAATTTTACGAGGAAACGCTATCAAATCGCTACCCGTACTCGTGCTACAAGCAGGTGTTTGTCGACGAGGTCGCGTACGATTACAGATCGTACGCGACGATGAGCATTTTAAACACGAACCTGTTGCACTCGGCCGTAATCATCGATCAGTGCTACATCACGAGACGTGCGATGGCGCAAGCAATCGCCGAGCAGTTTTTCGGATGCTTCATCTCCATGCAGAACTGGTCCGATATGTGGCTGCCCAAATCGATCAGCCAGTATTTGTGCGGATTGTATTGCAAGAAGTGTTTCGGGAATAACGAGTACAGAGAGTACGTCCAAAGCACGCTGAGGGACGTCGTGAAGTACGAGGAGCAATACGGCGGAATAATCTTAGGTAGAAAATGCTCAAAAACTTTTAACTACCCCACCTCTTGCAGATCCCAGTCAGCCTCCTTCGCCTCTGCCGACATCGTCCAGCACCCCCTCGAGCCACACGAAGCACCACGAGGCGCAATTCTACTTCTCAATTCGTAATTTGCACACATTATCTCCACTGTACATCGAGGCCATGTATAAGAAAGGTCTGCTAGTTATGCGAATGCTGGAGAACAGAATAGGGTTGGAGTTGCTGTTGCAGGTGTTCAATAAGCAATTGTCGTTGGCGATGAACGCGGCGGGACAAAAAATTGGGAGCGGATTGTGGAGTCACATGCTTATTAGTACGATCACGTTTACTAAAGCGATTTTTACCGTGACCGGGAAGGATATGATCGTTTTTATTGATCAGTGGGTTCGAACTGGCGGCCATGCCAAATTTCACTTAAGTTCGGTGTTTAATCGAAAAAGGTAAGAACTTTCTCCAAGATTCAGTTAGAATCATTACCCACTCTTTAGCGCATTTACTCTGTCCGTCCTTCCGAGCCCTTAACTACAACAGTTTTCAATGTATTTAGTTCGTTCTTTTTTAATTCAGTAGCTCCGAAACCCCAACCAAGAAAAATCTTACCGATTAAAAGTGCGCATGCGCAGACTGCGCAAATATCAACTTCCTTAGTTATTGAGATATTTTTTTTTGAATTTTTAACGCATACAGGGTGGCCATTTGAAAACGAAACAGAGCCTATTTTGGAGACCTGAAAACATTTACGAAAAAATCCTCGGACCCGTCAATTTTTGATCCAAGGGGGAACCATTTTTTGCTAGTTTCGACCCCCTGGGGGCACAGCCATAGCGGGGGTGACAAGTGCCCCCAAAATTTTAAATCGAAGGGGGGGTCGAGTGATACCGTATTTTGAAGGTATTTTTATGTAGATTATAACTCTTAAGATTTAAATCAGTTTTATTTTAAGTGCTTAAAGCTAAAATCAATCAAGTAAATGTTGGAAATGTAGGCCTTCGACTTCCATACAATAATACAGGTTTTGTTCAAACCTTTCCCGTACATTTTGCAAAACTTCTGGGGTGATTTGACGACATTCATCAATTATTCTTTGTCGCAAGTGCTCTAGCGACGTTGGCTGACTAGCATAAATTTTAGTTTTTAAATGTCCCCATAAAAAAAATCTAACAGATTTAAGTCCGGGGAACGAGGAGGTCATTCAATAGCTCCTCTTCTTCCAATCCATTGTCCTGGAAACGTTTGGTCCAAATATTGACGAAACCCTTGCAGCATAGTGGGGTGGCGCACCATCTTGTTGAAATACTATACGATTTTCCAAGTACTCGTTGTTATTTTCTAGTATCTCCACTAATGCTGGATGAATCGTATTTTCTAATAACTTCAAGTACTTCTCTCCTGTTAGATTGCCAGGTAAAAAGAAGGGGCCTACGATATGGTTACCAAAAATGCCAGCACAAACATTCAATTTTTCAGGACGTTGTGTGTGCACCTCACCAAATATTCTGGGATTTGAATCAGCCCAATAGCGACAGGTGTGTATTTGTCACTACTATTATTTGACAACAACAATTGACACGCACTATTAAACTTTAAAATGTTGCTATAGTAACGCTCTGAACAATAACCAAGATTTCCGTTGCAGAATTGGCATAGCCACCTACCTACAGATATTAAAAAGAAAAAAAACAAACAACAAAAAGTACGGTTCAGAATGTAGGAGAACAACATTTTTGTATTTACTGTTGTATTAATTTTTGTTATTTAACTAATTCATTTACAAGCATTTTTTTCATAAGAAAATGTTTTTAACATTTATTAGCCCCTGTATCGGCTAGGCAAATTAGTAGCGATTTAAAACTTAAGGGTTATAATCCACATAAAAATACCTTCAAAATAAGTTATCACTCGACCCCCCATTCGATTTAAAATTTTGGGAGCACTTGTCACCCCCGCTAGGGCTTTGCCCTTAGGGGGGCGAAACTAGCAAAAAAATGGTTCCCCCTTGATTCAAAAATTGACAGGTCCGAGGATTTTTTCGTAAATGTTTTGAGGTTCCCAAAATAGGCTCTGTTTCGTTTTCAAATGGTCACCCTGTATAGTAAAAATCAGATGTGGTCCGTGTGATACAGTGCCGGCTCCTGTGGCGAACTGGAGTTGAAGAACTGCGGTAGCAAGAGTCCTCGATTCGAATCCGGGTTCGGGCATGGATATTTGTAAAGGTATAGCGCGGCTGTCCCAAGCAAAAACTGAGTAAGTCGTTAAAACTTGTTGTTGCTTTTAAATAAATTTATTATAACTTACGATGCCTTATGAAATTTTGCCATTGAATAATTACCAAAGCAAATCGACTAGTGTACAGTACCTTTTATTGAGATTTCATTTATTTTATGAATGTTTTCTTAGGCTAGGCCCGCTAGGCGATCAAAAAACTGTTTTTTCAAAAAAGTATTACTTTTTAAAAATCAGAAAGTATTGTGCAAAAACAAAGTAAGTGCAGTTGCACATGACAAAATGTTAAAAAGGCCTAAATTAAACCAACTAGCTAACAAAAATAATTTTTCTATGAGCATACTTTATAAATATAACACACAAAAAAACTTAAATTCTAAATAGATCAACATGAACAAAATATGGTACCTAGAAACTATTTGTCGTCATCGTTTACTTCATTGGCATCCTTTTTTGAAAGTAAATCTTGAGATGAGTTTAAGGCCGGCATGGTTTGCCAAAATGTAGGCATAAAAGTCCACTTAATATTTTCTCGTTTTTCTCGGTATTAATTCCATATGTATTAGTAAAACGTCAGGAACGTTATCTACATGTTTTTTTTTAAGGAAATCAAGCTCTTTATAGTCCTCTTGAAGTTTGTTTTGTATTGAAGGCTTTTTTTGCCTTTTATAAAGCATACTTGATACTTCTACTGCATTGGACAGTAGGGGGGATCACTTACTTTTCTGACCATGCGTCTTTAATTTTTCCACCTTCGAAATTCTGTTAACTGCAAAACTTCTAATTGTTTTCTGGAGTTAGAAATTAACTCACGCAGCTCTTGAAAATTATACGCAGTGCATTTTCTACTAATTTTTTGTTTAATATTGCCATGTATCCCGTCAGCACTCATGTGACCTTTGGTCAAGTAACGGATCGTTACCTTACTTGGGCCGAACGATTGGTTTACTTTAGTTATAAGGGCCGTAAATAACATGTTTAGTTAAAAACTACTAGCCTGCTTGTAAATAAATAAGATATACTTTGCGGCATAATTGGAAGCAATATCACTTTTTAAAGATCCACGGAAAAAATACGCTTAGAACTAATTTCTAAAACTCGGGCAGCTTCTTTCGAGTCCTCTTTGTACTTTTCGTTTGCCGGAGAGGCTTTTAAATTGTGTGCAGTCATTTTTTCTTGGTTGTTTTTAGCACCACTGTTGGTATTGACAGCATTTTTCATAGAAGTGCATTCATTACAAAGGTCAGATTTAGGCTGAAAGGCTGGCGTGCATTTTTTAAATAGTTTCGCATTGGAAAAGCTCCCTAAACTTAAACTTTAAGAAATGTTACTTAATTACAACTTTGATTACCTTCTTGTTTTTTTGGTTCAAGTGCGTAATAAATAATTAACGCCAACTAAATACGAAAAACAAATAATACGGCTATAATTACCGGATTCTGGATATTTTCCAAACATTTTTCGCTACTGGTATTATCCGGCGGGAAGGTATTTTTGCTACAGTGAGCCTAAAACAAAATTAGTTCAAGAAGATACCTACTTATTGTACGTTAGAATACTTTTTGGAATAAGTTTTTGTTTTTCTTCGCGACTAGTAATAAGCAACCTAGAATAAACATCAAAATTATATAAATTAAACCATGAAAGTATTATTTCCAATAATAATGTCGACATAATATTTGAATTATTTGGTTTCTTCTTTTTAGCCCCCATTTCTATGTTAAATTTGCTTTCAACATTGGCCAAAGGTAACATAAATAATAATTACAAACAACTTTACATTAAATGTGCTTTCTACATCGTTTACATCCTGCTTTTTATTGATAACATAATTTAAACTAAGTAGCAACAGAGTTCGTTTTTGTTACCGATAAGTTTTCCGTTTCATTTCCACTACACCAGAGCTGGGCAGTATTCGATTTTGTAAATACTTTTTAGTATTCAAATACTTTGTAATTAAATAGTTTTATGGAAGCAGTATTTGTTTTTGTAACTCAAATACTTTCACAAATATTTAGTATTCGAATACTTCGCATAGTATTTGAATACTTAACCTTCCTTTTTTACCAAAAATCGACTACATCAAAATTTCTCGGGAAAACGCTTTTTCTTATTAATTTTGGTGCGTAGAATCCAAAACAATTCGTACTTTTTCGATCAGACTTCTCAATCAAAAGTTATAGACTAGAAACCAATTTCGAAAGAAAATTCAAACGGCTGTAACGTTTGAACTAATAGCCCAATCTTGGAACTGTTTGAAATTATGGATTCTACAGGCCACATTCTATAAGAAAATTTTTTTCCGGGTCGATCTGAGACAATTTTTTTTTGGGCCTCAAAAAAAGGCAGTGTATAACCTTCCTTTTTTACCAAAAATCGACTACACCAAAATTTCTCGGGAAAACACTTTTTCTTATTAATTTTGGTGCGTAGAATCCAAAACAATTCGTACTTTTTCGATTAGACTTCTCAATCAAAAGTTATAGACTAGAAACCAATTTCGAAAAAAATTCAAAGGGCTGTAACTTTTGAACTAGTAGCCCAATCTTGGAACTGTTTGAAATTATGGATTCTACAGGCCACATTCTATAAGAAAATTTTTTTCCGGGTCGATCTGAGACAATTTTTTTTTCGGGGCTCAAAAAAAGGCAGTGTATAACCTTCCTTTTTTACCAAAAATCGACTACACCAAAATTTCTCGGGAAAACACTTTTTCTTATTAATTTTGGTGCGTAGAATCCAAAACAATTCGTACTTTTTCGATCAGACTTCTCAATCAAAAGTTATAGACTAGAAACCAATTTCGAAAGAAAATTCAAAGGGCTGTAACTTTTGAACTAGTAGCCCAATCTTGGAACTGTTTGAAATTATGGATTCTACAGGCCACATTCTATAAGAAAATTTTTTTTCCGGGTCGATCTGAGACAATTTTTTTTCGGGGCTCAAAAAAAGGCAGTGTATAACCTTCCTTTTTTACCAAAAATCGACTACACCAAAATTTCTCGGGAAAACACTTTTTCTTATTAATTTTGGTGCGTAGAATCCAAAACAATTCGTACTTTTTCGATCAGACTTCTCAATCAAAAGTTATAGACTAGAAACCAATTTCGAAAAAAATTCAAAGGGCTGTAACTTTTGAACTAGTAGCCCAATCTTGGAACTGTTTGAAATTATGGATTCTACAGGCCACATTCTATAAGAAAAATTCTTTTCCGGGTCGATCGGATACAATTTTTTCTTCGGGCCTCAAAAAAAGGCAGTGTACAACCTTCCTTTTTTACCAAAAATCGACTGCACCAAAATTTCTCGGGAAAACACTTTTTCTTATTAATTTTGGTGCGTAGAATCCAAAACAATTCGTACTTTTTCGATCAGACTTCTCAATCAAAAGTTATAGACTAGAAACCAATTTCGAAAGAAAATTCAAAGGGCTGTAACTTTTGAACTAGTAGCCCAATCTTGGAACTGTTTGAAATTATGGATTCTACAGGCAACATTCTATAAGAAAATTTTTTTTCCGGGTCGATCTGAGACAATTTTTATTTCGGGGTTCAAAGAAAGGCAGTGTAGAACCTTCCTTTTTTACCAAAAATCGACTACACCAAAATTTCTCGGGAAAACACTTTTTCTTATTAATTTGAGTGCGTAGAATCCAAATCAATTCGTACTTTTTCGATCAGACTTCTCAATCAAAAGTTATAGACTAGAAACCAATTTCGAAAGAAAATTCAAAGGGCTGTAACTTTTGAACTAGTAGCCCAATCTTGGAACTGTTTGAAATTATGGATTCTACAGGCCACATTCTATAAGAACATTTTTTTTCCGGGTCGATCTGAGACAATTTTTTTTGGGGGCTCAAAAAAAAGTGTATTACCTTCCTTTTTTACCAAAAATCGACTACACCAAAATTTCTTGGGGAAACACTTTTTCTTATTAACCCTAATTTACAGGTCTGGGGTGAACAGCCACTTTCAATGTCCATAATTTTTTTTTCTGAGATTATGCATGGAAACACGGCGGGCAGGTGGCGACAGTTAGAGTGGGGTTCGTTCCACCCCACGCCCGTAAACTTGAAAGTTTTAGTGGCCAGTAAACTAGGGTTAAAAGACAAAAGGTTTTATACAACAATTTTTTTAAACTGATTGTAAAATAATCTGCCGTCAGGATCTAACCTCATTCCTTTAAATAGAACACCCTGCAAATTTGAATCTTGTAAGATATAAAAATTAATTTTTTGAACCACTTGAACGTTTTCCCATCTTTAGATTTCTTATTACAATAGTTCTTTGTTTCGCCGCCCGAGGTCGTGCAGATGTTTTCCATGGTATATCTAATCCCATCGGTGAAGGTTCTGCGTTTTGGTTAGTTGCAAATATTTTCATTCAGTACGCCATTACTTTTACAGACTTCGTGTTGTCTACCTGCATAAGGGTTGCTGGTTTTGGCTCTTACCAAATATCTTTGGAGTGGTTTCTCTTCTTTTTTATGTCTGTACATTCATAATGCAGCATTTTTCCTAATACGTAATACATAAAGTAGTTTTCTTGAGGTTAACGTCACGTTCATGCTTTTATATATACCTATCACAGATTTTGAAAGGACAATCCGTGATCGAGTCAAAATTTTAACGACGTTAACTAGAATAATTGATCTTATTGAGTATTAATTACGGTTTAGTATTCGATTTGGCTCAGTGTCAGACGTTAGAATGGGGGCATCCCAGCTTCATTTTTTGTTTCTGATCTACAAAGTACAATAAAAATAAACCCAAAATAAATGATTGAAAAGCTGTGTTTTTAGTCCGAATTTGAATCGCTTCAGTTTAAATACGTCACAAACCTACAACCAATCACGTAGAAGTGAGCCGGCAACCTTGTGCGAGGGTCTGACGTTTTAAGAGGCATGCTTAACTGCATCCACAGATCTACACATACACAGATTGCTAACCTTATGCATTTTTTGGGAAAAAAATTGAGGTATACTTAAAAGTGCCCTCTATTGCGGAGCAGTACAAACATGTACCGTTTAAAACTGTAATATGACGCTTATGGATTTATGCATTAGATGTCGCTGTAAAAAATGTAAAGCGGTAAAGTGTGCATAATTCGAATTCATCATATCATATCACTGTAATAATACGAATATTAAGGAATTCGAATTGTGCAAACTTTAGTGCTTTAATTTTGTTTCAGCGACATCTAACGCATAAATCCATAAGCGTCACATTACAGTTTTAAACGATACATGTTTATACTGCTCCACAATAGAGGGCGCTTTTAAGTATACCTAAATTTGTTTAAAAAAAAATGCATAAGGTTAGCAATCTGTGTATGTGTAGATCTGTGCTGCATCTAACGCGAAAGTGAACAAGTGACAATTGCCTGACAGGTGACGCAAGTTACAAATGAAAATCGCCTGCAATATTGCCAAGTCGTTATGTAATCTGAATGGTTCTAGGAGCTGATTGGTCGGGCTTATTACGTCACAGAGCCCGCCACAATCATATCGTTTTGAATAAACCCTTAAAACCGCACATGTTCATTATTTTTTTGCTAATCAGACTTTATCTTTAAATAAACTTTTACTGTCGAAAAAAATGTTTTATGGTTTCAGGTACACGCTTATTAAATTAGAACTGCGGAATTCAACTATACTGTAAACCCCCATTGCTTTCGAAATATTTCATGTGCCGCGCTATTCACCACCCCTCGTTTGTTTGTTATCTGTTACAGAAAAGGCTAAACGCGCCCTTCTGAGCTCACATGGTTGCCCCAGTAGTTGTATTTTTTTGATTTCAATAAATTTCTCTGACTACGTGTTGATTCTCTTTTTGCTAAAAATGGATTTAAATGTAAACATTGACATTGCATTTGTAATATTTTGAGATAATTTATTAAATCACCCTCGATTGTGACATCAATTACATTTAAGGAGATATCTTATAGTGTCAAAAATGGGACACCCTGTACATCTACTTTTACGATTGTTTCTCTGTAGCGTTGCGACTATAAAAAAATATACTGACTTACTTGTTTAACCATCCTGTATGTATGGTTATTAAAAAAGCTTATTTTTCAAAATTGGAAGAAAATTGCATTTAGCCCAACGAAAAAACCCCTCTGAACATTTTAAACATTTGACATGTACCACAAATTCACAAAACTTCTCAAACGTTTCTCGGTAATTTTAAAACATTCAAGATCTTCAGTATATATTCGACATTTAATCTAAAAAAATAGCATTGTGACTTTTCTTTTCAAAGATATAGCACTAAAAAAAATGGAAAAACCTTTTTTGAAATTTTTTTAAACACGAACGTTTATTGATTTTTTTAAAATTTCTTTTAATCCATATATTCGTATCTTTATTCTGAAAAATCCAATTTTGATAGCACTAACATCTAGTCTACTACTTAAACTGACTTGTTTAACCACCCTGTATATGTTTATTATAAAAATTAATTCTTCAATGTTTCAAAAATCAACCGAAATATTGTGGTACAACGAAAAAAGCATAACTCTCCTTTCAAAAATATAACACTGAACGAAATTAAAAATCTCTTTTGATTTTTTTAATCACTTGGTCGTTTTGTGCATTTTTGAATCTTTTTAAAAATTTTTGAATCATTTGAATGTGATACCTTTTTAGAAGGAGATATCTATGCAAAAATTTACGTTTGGAGTAAATGATTGAACGGTTTTGATATTGTTCTTTATCAAAAACGAAATTAAAGAAACGTCAAAATCGTTTAATCACGCTATCTTTTTAGATTATTATTGCTTTTTTGATAGCGCTAACATCCTGTACATCTATTACAATTGTTTCACCGCAGCGTTGTGTAAAAAAATACTCACTTACCTGTTTAACCACCCTGTATATATGTTTACAAAAAGTTTTTCAAATAAAAAAAAAATCCCCATGAAATTTTTGCCACAATGACAAAATCGATATTTTCAAAAACAATGTTTGATCTGATTTGAAAATGTACTTCTACCTAACATCCGCTCTACTTCCCCCTTCGTCTGATTTATTTTGCTTTCTTTCCGATTAGCTTTTTAGCGCATTTCCACAAAAATAAAAAAAATGCGCTATTGTCACCACTTTGTCCGTCCGTCGGGTTGCTACTAGATCTTCATCTTAAGATGAATGCAAGTGGCAATGCGCTTTTTGTAAATTGAAGTTCTGAAAGCAGGCGTATGCTTTTTTGTGTACGAGAAATGTACGTTCCATTTACTAGTGATAAAATTTACGTGAAGGAACCTTTTCGAGTAGGAGCGCATTTGTACTGATTCCAATATGGACTTAAATCATTTGCACCATATCAAGACATGTTCCTTTATTTTACAAAATTTCCCACACAAGTTGTCAGAATTTTCAAAACATTCGACATTTTGAAAATATTCAACATTTCTCATTTTCATGTTAAAAATAGGTGTCTGGCATTTTTCGATATATTGTCAAAAACATGTTTGACATTTTCACACTTCCGGATTTCTGGTGAAATATTAATAAATACTCAAATGCGAGTGCATTGTAATTGAATACATTTTTCAAACAGCAATGAACCTTTCATATAGCCTTGTGGAACTCCCCCCAACTTGACTTACTGTACGTGAACAACTTACAATATTCTTGAGATCAAGCTAACTTTCCATATAATTGCATTGGAACCTACTTTTCGCGTCTAAGGTGGCCTTGTGCGACACGGAACACAAACGGCCGCTACTTACCCGCCTCCACAGGTAGATATAGGCTATATCGATAAGAGTAAGGTGAGAATTAAGGCAATCTTGATTGTGTAAAATATCTACTCTGTGATGATCGGTAAGGTCGTACTTAGACCTTAACAACTTTTGCAGGTGCACCACGGACACGGCCGTCGGGCATCGTAGATACCTAAAAGCGGATCGGATTAAAACGCGAACGGCTCGCGACGCTTTACCTCGGAGGCCCGCTGCTGTCGTGATAATTTAAGGAGAGGCAGATCGTCTCGTCCGGACTGAGAATGTGCTGGTAGGACGCCTCGCCGCACTGCTCCAGGTCGGAGGGTCGCGCGTCCGGGTGGGACGTGTAAAACTCGCGCCGCCTGCACATTTCATCTGAAAGATCAATTGCATAAGTCTACGGAGAGATGTGGCGGCGCATACTTTGAAATAGACGTGGTACCAGTTTGTAGACGATATCCTGCAGGGTTTTATCGGGTCGTATGTTAAGTAAAGGCTTCGTTTTGTGTACCTGCACATCGCAAACGGGACAATACTTGTTCTTCACCAGATACTGAACGATACAGCTGCGACAAACTGCAAGTGCCAGATTAGCAAGAGGAAGGAGGCGAGTCGAGAGTCTGTACTTACACGTGTGGAGACACTCGATGATTGTCGTCGCATCAATAAAGTAACCTCTGCATAGCTTGCATGTTAAGTAGTTATTTAATTCCACAATTGGTACTCTTCGTGTTTGGTGCATTGTTAGTAATAAGGCTTACATTCTGCTTAATTTCTACATCCACTTTTATCCATATTGGTGGTAAGTAGCAACCATGACCTACAAATTAAATGGGTCTTTAACAAGGAAATCTTACACCAAACTCGCTTCGTATTTCGCCCCTTCGGCTTAGCCAGAGCATAATACGTACCTTCCGTTAATTGTTAATAAAATATTATTGTTTACTTAAAGTAAATATATCATTTGACAGTGAGCCATGTTAACGCTTTGACAGTTATGCTACCAATTTGGAAGTATGGCGTCACTTTTTGGGGACGATTTTCAAATTTCGGTCGCGTAAACGACGTTGATTTCGGTAGGACGCACCTCCAAAGTACACAGCAGCTACTTATTTTTTATATAAATCTTGTAAATAGCGTATTTGTTATGTAAATATTTTACAAAACATGCCACAAATCAAACGCAGTATGTTACGTAGTGCCAACCCAAGAAACATTTTTTAAATTTCAATTTAGCAATTTTTCGTTTAATCTAATTTTCGTTGGACCCAAATTTCTTTTAACATTCCACTAATGTTTATAAAGATGAGGGGCGGGGGGATCCTGATCATAGCTTAAAACCCATGGCAATAATCTCTTTCTTCTCGTTGTCTCCTCATCTCCCCCTCCGTTGGATTTCGCTTTTGTTCTGCAAGTAACCTTAATCCAGTTTACTCCCCTCCACTCTTCTTCTAACATATTTCTTACTATTTTTCTAGTTCTCTACAAACCCATATTAGATAATCTACATTTTACTCTACTTTCACACTTGAAATTCGCGATTCGTTATATTGTAAAAACGTGTACGGTATTATAGTGTGCTTACTTTTTGGATCAACGCAGGCCCGTAGCTATAGGAGGTGGTGAGAGGGGGGGGGGGGGGGGAGGGCCGAGTCCCATCTAAAACGTGGTCTTGCCCCCACTGGAAGTTATGGTTGATGGTTCCTTTACAAAAGTTACAAGGGAAGTCTTCATCAAAAACTTTTTAAGTCCCCCCTAGAAAAATACCGGCCACCCCTGCTACTTCATTCTGGCTACGAGGCAGGGATCAAACTGAGTAAGTGAGGATGAAGTTGCCAATAGCAAAGACACATTTTGGCAAGAGTTACAAATGGGATTTGAACAACAGAAGGAGGTGCGACAGTTATTGTAGACGACTTCAATGCTGGGGTAGGCTGCAATGCAACATATAGGGCATAGAATTGCGAAAATTTGGGGAAAAAATAGGAACAAAGGGAAGACTCACCGATTACTGTGTCTATTCTATTCTATTCATAAGAAGAGCCCGACAAGGTAGCACTTATAGGCACATCGAAAGCCCATTATGTGCCTACGACTACTCCCCACACAACACACAGACGTACTATCAAAGTCCATTGTATGTACATAATGTGCAGTCCTTCTGTACCAACCTAGTAAGTATGTACGCACAAACACAGCATGTGCAAAGAGTACGTTACTCTTTGGCATGTGTACACTGGACGTCCATTGTAGGTGCACATGTCAACGACATGGACCGTTTATGTACGTACATACTGTACGTCCTATGGGCGTTCCTTCAAAGTATATTCCTTGTCCTGTCGTTTTATTGCACTATATTTAAAAATAAAACAGTTACTTTAAAAACAATATCAATTATAAACTGTTAAAACAATAGGGGCCATTTCCACGGGTAATAGGGGTCCTACGGGTTATTGAGTCCTTCTTTGCTTTTAATGTAATTGTCCGGAAATCATCATTCAACCTTCCTTTGCTACTATGAAGATTGTAGGAGTTATACGGAAAGTGTTATTGAGTCCTTTTTTGCTTTTAATATAATTTTGCGAAAATAGTCATTCGATCTTCCTTTGCTGGGGGGGGGGGGGGGGGGTTATCTGCAGTAGGTATAGGAGGAGAGTAAGTAAGTGATGTTTTTTTCCCAAAACCTTCCATGAGATTGTTACCAGGGGTCTGGAGGTATGGAGAACCCCCAGCTAATGCTCCCTTTAGCCGGCGACGCTAACGACGCTTCTTATGGAATATATTTACAATATACCTATACAAAAATGGAAGCCGAAGTGCATGCGGAGAGCGGTGTCGTCGGAGAGATCCCGGCGGGTCTTCTGGCTGGCGGGCCATTCTAATTATTACCCGAGCACCCTGTATATTTATATACAGGATAGCTAAATAAGAACGGAACACTACTGCATCTCATCAAATCAGAAAATCACAGCTTTTTGAAATTTTTTTTTCAATAAAAGGGCCTGAAATCATGCTTATAGATACTGAAGCACCATGTATATTGGTATACCGGGTGGTTAAATAAGAACGGAATACCCACGCTTCCAAAAATGAGAATATCAGACCTTTGGAAATTTTTCTTTTAAATAAGAGTACATAGTTACTGAAACACCCCGTATACTGATATACTGGATGGTGCAGTAAGAAGGGAACCCTACTGCATCTCGAAAAATGATATAATAAACATTTTGGACATGTGTCTTTTGAAATAAAAGTGCTCGAAATCATCCTAATAGTTACTCAAGCATCCTGTATATTCATATAAAAGACGGCTAAATAAGAATGCTACTGCAAAAATTCAGAAAATCACTCCCTTTAGACATTTTTCTTTTAAATAAATGCCCGAAATCATTTTAACAGTTACTCAAACATCCTGTATATTCATATACCGGGTGGTTAAATACGAACGTAACACTACATCCGAAATGTGAGAAAATCGTAGTTTTTTAAAATTTTTCTTTTCAATAAGAGGGCCCGAAAACATTTGTATAATTTATATTATATTGAAGCACCCTGTATGATAAGAACGGAACCATTAAGAATATTGGAACAATAGCTTAAAATCAATAACGCCTTCTATAATACATTAATATAATTCCGGCCAACGTTTCAAAAATGTACAAGAAGCTTTTTAACAAATTCCCCCCCCCCCTATAGATTTATAAAATGGACAAAAAACATAGAAGCATTTTGATTCTAAACTGCCTGACTTTGGCCATTGTTCTTGAGCCATCACGCTTTTTATTTTGCATTAGAATAATTACCCAGTATCATTCAGTGCAATTATACTATACAGGGTGTTTTTTTAAGATGGGCCATGCGACAATGTAAAGGTGTTGAGTTATTTAAAATGGGTCATAGGGAAATTTACATTGCGCCAATTGTTCTCATATCTTGGCCTTGCGCTTATTTATTCACTGACAGTTCTCAATCTGCAAGCTACATGCATTTGGTCAACCCTGTATACAAACAAAAGAAGTCGGCTCAGGGTGAATGTATGTATACCTGGCTTTAGGTGTGTGACATTCGCTAAAGCAATCTAAAAAACCTCCGGAAAAGAAGCAGAAAAGGTCAAGTGCAATCTAGAATCCTTTCCAAAGCACTTCTCAGAGACGTTCCAGATGTTTTGCGAGTATGTATAGAGCAAGCCAGCCGTAGGCTTGAATATCGCGCACGAGGGACAAGTTACAAGATCCAGGGGAAGACTTATTTAACGGTACATTTCTTTATTGCATATTACAACTTGTCTTTATCAGGTCGCAGAGGTGCACTAATTGGGATGTATCAAAACCTTAATGGCTCTCCCTGTCCTTAACTCATCGAATGCTTTTGTTATATCGCTCATTTGGTAATGATGCGTAACTAACGTCTTCACGTTGGCCTTTCCAGTCGCAACCATTTCCATGGCAGTTTTAAAGCTGAAAGTAAAAATTGAACTCCACTGGCTCTGAAAATGGCAACACTTACTCGTTTACGCACGCGTAACATCCGCGAACGTCGACTTCTCTGGTGAGAATGTCGCGGACCGGAAGTTCCATGTCGATCCTTCCGCTTATTCCAACAAGCACGACGGTACCGCCACTCGCCGTTGCTTTAACAGCGACGCGTGCCGTGGACTGAAATCCTGCACAGTCAAAACTGACGGTAGGCCGGTCGTCTAGGAGAGACGTAATTCTTCGGACAATCCCATCTTCTTGGTCATTAGGTTCAACTTTCAGAGTGAAATCCGCCCCAAGCTCTTTGGCCTTGTCCAACCTCCATTGGGAGACGTCTGTGGAATATCTACTCAATGACTCTCAGCACTTACAACAGCGCAATGACCTGTTATGATGACCTTGGTGGCTCCACAAGCCTTAGATGTCGCCAGTGTAAGCAACCCAACGGATCCGGCGCCTATGATTAGAACGACCGAGCCCGGGCGAACATTTCCCCTTCTGCAAGCATACAGCCCAATTGCCAATGGTTCGACTACAGCTGCTTCTTCCAGTGACATTTCGGTGGGCAACCTGAATAGCATTGGATTAAATTGAAGAAACACTCTGAGATTGAGTACTTGTAGCAAAAGTTGGCGGGATGGGCGTAGTAGCGCGCCATGCACCCTTCTCTTTGGGTCTTAAGGCCAAGGGTGGGGTGGGTGCACAGGTTATATCGCCCTGCTTGGCAATACGTACATTTCTGGCATCTTGGAAGGATGTCAAGGACGACACGGTCACCTAAACCAGGGCCTTGAGTAACTGTCAAATACGTGGATACTACCGTGTTTGAGATGAGTGACGTTCTTGCCCACTTCGACCACTGTACCGGAACCTTCGTGACCTACAACCGAGGTGCAAAGGGTGAAACATTCAAGGGACTTTCTCACCCAAGATCATCGGCGGCCGTACAACGTAGAACCCAATGCACCCATTATTTATCTGGTGCACGTCCGATCCGCAAATACCAACGGAATGCATCTTCACCAAGACCTCTGTAACATCAATATCTGTACGAGTGTGGGTTTGCGAGCAACCTACCATCATCGCTGGGTTTTGGAATGGAACGTTGCTCCTAGGGACCAACCGTTAACAAGAGTAGCTGACGGCGCTAACACTTACCAATCTCAAATCGTTCACGCCGTAAAAGACGACAGCCCAATTATCTCCTAGATCCATGACGGTCCACGTGAATTAGGGATAGTTGCAAACTAATTTATGTCCACCGGACGGAGATAACGTTATCAAAGCAGTTCAGGTCAAGATTGAGCAAGCGGAGGCTTTGCCCTTGGCTCTGTTTCCTCACTTTTCTTGCTGATTTGAATTAATGACTTCTCCGGCAATTCAGCTTTCTTGGTTTCCTTCGACACTTTCACTTTTTCCACGTCTTCAGCTTTCTTCGATTTGTTGGAGATTCTTCTGCGCATACTTACTCGTCTAGGGGTGGGAAAAAATAACCCTATCGCGCAGAAGGCACTGTGCTGACATTTTGGAAGACGAAGGGTGGTTTGACCAGAATTTACCGATTATGACCTCTTTCCCGATTTGTGACGAGGTTTTAGACGATTTAGTCTTACTTATCAAGGAGCGAGAACTACTCTACTTATCAAGGAGCGAGAACTACTCTCCAGGTTTGGGACTGTGTTGAGAGGAGGATTTGAATTTTGGCGAGATTATTGGTCTTCGTGTGGTAGGTGTAGGTCCTTCAGACTGTGTCGCTTGTTGGTAATCAGAGTAACATTACGGTGGTTTCTGCCCTCGTTTAATCTCCAGCACCTCTTACCCGGGCATCTAGGCAATTTTACACCTTTTGGTTTAAATCGTCTGAGTTGGGCTCTTTCCAAAACGCTGTATGCCATTTTTCCTTCTTTAAAGTACGGTCCGCTAGGGTAAAAAGATTTTAAATTAATTTTAGTGGTTGAAATATCGTTGGGGTGCGCATTTTTTGCAATTAGTTCTCCCTAAGATTTGGAGGGTAGTATCATTTGTTGACGCCTGACGCGTTTTTGGTTATTGCGTTGGTTCCGTTTCAATTTCAATACAGCCTCAAGATAGTAGATTTCGATTGGTTAGAAAACGCGACGTGGAGCTCCGAGTTTGGGCGCGGAGTTTGCTGTTCCGTTCCGTTTAGTTCTGGAAAAAGGAAAAAGACGAAGAAGAGCGGCAACTCGAACGTCTTAAAATGTATGTTTCATCGCAAAAACTTATGTTTTTGACCCAAAAAAAATGTAAGGGTTGTTGACAGGGCGCCAAATCTTCTTTTCCTGGGGAGTATTCCCCCCAATGTTACGTTTTCCCTCAAAATGTTAAAGGTACTCGGAATTCTCATGATGGCTTTTCAGAAAACGACCACCGAATTTTCTTTCCTGGGGAGTATTCTCCCCGGTGCTACGTTTCCCCTCAAAATATTGAAAGTTCATGGGATTCTCATTGTTTTTCCGAAAACGGCCATCAAATCTTCCTTCCTGGAGGGTTTTCCGTCCTCCCCTGACCCCCGGTGCTACGTCTTCGTCCAAAAAGTTAAGCCTAAAGCACTCCCACGTGCGGAATATCGTCTAGGAAAGGAATATTTGACGGCACTTCCCACTAAGCCATGAATATCTTAGGGTAAAGTAGCACCGGGGGGTCTGGGGATATGGAATAAAGCCGAAATAATATCACTCAGCACAGATGAAATCGCTTAGCTTTTCCTGAAAGCTAGCATGTCAGGGTCATTAACTCTTCTTTTCCGAGGAGTATTCTCCCCAAAGGTTACGTTTTTATTCAAAATGATGGTTAAAATGGTTTTAAGGATGGTTTGGGCCTGACATTGCATTTCGGTGGGGTGTGCATTTTTTTGAAATTAAATCCCCCTAACATTTGGAGGGTAGTATCATTTGTTGACGCCTGACGCGTTTTTGGTTATTGCGTTGGTTCCGTTTCAATTTCAATAGAGCCTCCAGATAGTAGATTTTAATTGGTTAGAAAACGCGACGTGGAGTTCCGAGTTTGGGCACGGAGTGTCCTCTTCCGTTTCGGATTTTTTTCCAGCGTTCTGGATAAAGGAAAAAGACGAAGAAGAGCGGCAACTCGAACGTAAATGTCGTCTCAAAATGTTTCATCGCAAAAACTTATGTTTTTGACCCAAAAAAATGTAAGGGTTGTTGTCAGAGTCCTGTTAAGTTAAGCTTAAAAAACTCCCATGTGTGGAATACCTCTCAGGAATGGAAAATTTGGTCACACAAAACAATCATAAGCAACCCATGAATATTGTAGTGTACAGTAGCTCCGGGAGGGGGGAGGGGGGAGGGGTCTGGATTACCACCCATCCAACATAATATCACCCAGCGCAAGTGAAATCGATTACCTTTTTCCGAAAGCTAACATGACAGGGCGCCAAATCTTCTTTTCCTCGGGAGTATTCCCCCCAATGTTACGTTTTCCCTCAAAATGTTAAAGATACTCGGAATTCTCATGATGGCTTTTCAGAAAACGACCACCGAATTTTCTTTCCTGGGGAGTATTCTCCCCGGTGCTACGTTTTCCCTCAAAATGTTGGCAGTTCATGGGAATCTCATTGTTTCTCCGAAAACGGCCGTCGAATCTTCCTTCCTGGGGGGTTTTCCGTACTCCCCTGACATCCGGTGCTACGTTTTCGTCCAAAAAGTTAAGCCTAAAGCACTCCCATGTGTGGAATATCTTCTAGGAAAAGAGTTTTTGGGCACGGAGTTTCCTGTTCCGTTTCGGATTTTTTTCCAGCGTTTTGGAAAAAGGAAGAAGACGAGCGTAAATGTCGTCTCAAAATGTTTGATCGCAAAAACTTATGTTTTTGACCCAAAAAAAATGTAAGGGTTGTTGTCGTCAGAGTCCTGTTAAGCTTAAAGAACTCCCATGTGTGGAATACCTCTCAGGAGTGGAAAATTTGGTTACACAAAACAATCATAAGCAGCCCTGTAGAGTACAGTAGCTCCGGGAGGGGGGGGGGGGGGGGTTTGGATTACCACCCAGCCAACACAATATCACCCAGCACAAGTGAAATCGATTACCTTTTTCCGAAAGCTAACATGACAGGGCGCCAAATTTTCTTTTCCTGGGGAGTATTCCCCCGGTACTACGTTTCCCCTCAAAATATTGAAAGTTCATGGGATTCTCATTGTTTTTCCGAAACGGCCATCGAATCTTGCTTCCTGGGGGGTTTTCCGTACTCCCCTGACCCCCGGTGCTACGTCTTCGTCCAAAAAGTTAAGCCTAAAGCACTCCCACGTGTGGAATATCTTCTAGGAAAGGAATATTTGACGGCACTTCCCAGTAAGCCATGAATATCTTAGGGTAAAGTAGCATCGGGGGGTCTGGGGGGTATGGAATACCCCTCAGCCAAAATTATATCACTCAGCACAGATGAAATCAATTAGCTTTTCCTGAAAGCTAGCATGTCAGGGTCATTAATTCTTCTTTTCCGAGGAGTATTCTCTCCAAAGGTTACGTTTTTATTCAAAATGATGGTTAAAATGGTTTTAAGGGTGGTTTGGGTCTGACATTGCATTTCGGTGGGGTGCGCATTTTTTTAAAATTAAATCCCCGTAAAATTTGGAGGGCAGTATCATTTGTTGACGCCTGACGCGTTTTTGGTTATTGCGTTGGTTCCGTTCCAATTTCATTACAGCCTCCAGATAGATGATTTTGATTGGTTAGGAAACGCGACGTGGAACTCCGAGTTTGGGCGCGGAGTTTGCTGTTCCGTTTCGTTTTTTTTCCAGCGTTCTGAAAAAAGGAAAAATACGAGGAAGATGAACGGCAATTCGAGCGTATAGGTCGTCCCAAATTTTTGATCGCAAAAAGTTATGTTTTTGACCCTCAAAAAAATGCAAGGGTTGTTGTCAGGGTCATGTTAAGTTAAGCCTAAAGAACTCCCATGTGTGGAATACCTTTCAGGAGTGGAGAATGTGGCTAGACAAAATAATTATATGCAACCCATCTATATTTTAGTGTACAGTACCCCCGGGTGAGTGGGAAGGGGGGGGGGGGTCTGGAGTCTGGCTTACCACTCAGTCAACACAATACCACCAAGCACAAGTGAAATCGATTACCTTTCTCCGAAAGCCAACATGACATGGTCCCAAAATCTACTTATCCTGAGGAATATTCGCCCCAGGGGCGGACTGGGTACTTACGGGCCAGGTGGAATTGTATAGGTTACGGGCCATTAAAGTATTAGTGTAAAAGATGGGGGGGGGGGGGAGTTCTGCGGTGCCCCACAAAAACTTTTTTTGCTTCATTTTAATGTATTCCTTTCTCGAAAATCAATATACAGTTTTTTTCTCATTGCAGCTGATAATTAAAAGTAACAAAATATACAATCCAAACGAGGCGCGTCGCCTATAATTGTGTTTCAGCACTTTCATGATACGAAAAAAAATGATACATTCATTTTAAAACACTTAAATAAAATCAGAATTTTTTAATGAACAACCTCACATCAACCCCAATTAGAACCGTGTTAATAATTTATTAATACTGCAAGAAACAGCACATACTTATACATTTCCAACGGGCCATTATGACCTACAGGCCAGGTGGCAATCATTGCACCGGGGGGCCTGGGGGGTATGGAATAACCCCCCCCCCCCCCCCCAGCCAATGCAATGTCCCTCAGCATAAGTGAAATCGATTACCTTTTCTCGAAAGTTAATATGACAGGGTCATCCAATTTTCTTTTCCTGGGGAGTATTCCCCCCGGTGCTACTTTTTCCCGCAACATATTGAAAGTTCATGGGATTCTTATTGTTTTTCCGAAAACGGCCATCGAATCTTGCTTCCTGGGGGGTTTTCCGTACTCCCCTGACCCCCGGTGCTACGTCTTCGTCCAAAAAGTTAAGCCTAAAGCACTCCCACGTGTGGAATATCTTCTAGGAAAGGAATATTTGACGGCACTTCCCAGTAAGCCATGAATATCTTAGGGTAAAGTAGCATCGGGGGGTCTGGGGGGTATGGAATACCCCTCAGCCAGAATTATATCACTCAGCACAGATGAAATCGATTAGTTTTTCCTGAAAGCTAGCATGTCAGGGTCATTAACTCTTCTTTTCCGGGGAGTATTCTCCCCAAAGGTTACGTTTTTCTTCAAAATGATGGTTGAAATGGTTTTAAGGGTGGCTTGGGTCTGACATTGCATTGCGGTGGGGTGCGCATTTTTTTGAAATTAAATCCCCCTAACATTTGGAGAGCAGTATCATTTGTTGACGCCTGACGCGTTTTTGGTTATTGCGTTGGTTCCGTTTCAATTTCAATACAGCCTCCAGATAGTAGATTTTAATTGGTTAGAAAACGCGACGTGGAGTTCCGAGTTTGGGCACGGAGTTTCCTGTTTCGTTTCGGATTTTTTTTCCAGCGTTCTGGAAAAAGGAAAAATACGAAGAAGAGCGGCAACTCGAACGTAAATGTCGTCTCAAAATGTTTCATCGCAAAAACTTATGTTTTTGACCAAAAAAAAATGTAAGGGTTGTTGTCAGAGTTCTGTTAAGTTAAGCTTAAAAAACGGCCATCGAATCTTCCTTCCTGGGGGGTTTTCCGTACTCCCCTGACCCCCGGTGCTACGTCGTCGTCCAAAAAGTTAAGCCTAAAGCACTCCCATGTGTGGAATATCTTCTAGGAAAGGAATATTTGACGGCACTTCCCAGTAAGCCATGAATATCTGAGGGTAAAGTAGCACCGGGGGGTCTGGGGGGTATGGAATACCCTTCAGCCAAAATAATATCACTCAGCAGAGCTGATGAAATCGATTGGCTTTTCCTGTCAGAGTCTTCTTTTCCGGGGAGTATTCCCCTCAAATGATACGTTTTTCTTCAAAATGGTGGTTGAAATAGTTTTAAGGGTGGTTTGGGTCTGGCATTGAATAACGTTAGGGTGCGCATTTTTTTGAAATTAGTTCCCCGTAAGATTTGGAGGGTAGTATCATTTTTTGACGCCTGACGCGTTTTTGGTTATTGCGTTGGTTCCGTTCCAATTTCATTACAGCCTCCAGATAGTTGATTTTGATTGGTTAGGAAACGCGATGTGGAGCTCCGAGTTTGGGCGCGGAGATTGCTGTTCCGTTTCGGTTTTTTTCCAGCGTTCTGAAAGAAGGAAAAATACGAAGAAGAAGAGCGGCAACTCGAGCGTAAAGGTCGTCCCAAATTTTTGAACGCAAAAAGTTATGTTTTTGACCCTCAAAAAAATGTAAGGGTTGTTCTCAGGGTCCTGTTAAGTTAAGCCTATAGAACTCCCATGTGTGGAATACCTCTCAGGAATGGAAAGTTTGACCAGACAAAATAATCATAAGCAACCCATGTATATCTTAGTGTACAGTAGTCCCGGGTGAGTGGGGGGGGGGGGGTCTGGAGTCTGGCTTACCACTCAGCCAACACAATACTACCAAGCACAAATGAAATCGATTACCTTTTTCCGAAAGCCAACACGACAGGGTCCCCAAATCTACTTATCCTGGGGAGTATTCCCCCTAATGTTACGTTTTCCGTCCAAATGCTGAATGTACTCGGGATTCTCATTGCACCGGGGGGTTTGGGGAGTATGGCATATCCCTCCCAGCCAACGCAATGTCCCTCAGCACAAGTGAAATCGATTACCTTTTCTCGAAAGTTAATACGACAGGGTCATCCAATTTTCTTTTCCTGGGGAGTATTCTCCCCGGTGCTACGTTTTCCCTCAAAATCTTGAAGATTCATGGGATTCTCATTGTTTTTCCGAAAACGGCCATCGAATCTTCCTTCCTGGGGGGTTTTCCGTACTCCCCTGACCCCCGGTGCTACGTCTTCGTCCAAAAAGTTAAGCCTAAAGCACTCCCATGTGTGGAATATCTTCTAGGAAAGGAATATTTGACGGCACTTCCCAGTAAGCCATGAATATCTTAGGGTAAAGTAGCACAGCGGGGTCTGGGGGGTATGGAATACCCTTCAGCCAAAATAATATCACTCAGCACAGCTGATGAAATCGATTGGATTTTCCTGTCAGGGTCTTCTTTTCCGGGGAGTATTCCGCTCAAATGATACGTTTTTCTTCAAAATGGTGGTTGAAATAGTTTTAAGGGTGGTTTGGGTCTGGCATTGAATAACGTTAGGGTGCGCATTTTTTTGAAATTAGTTCCCCGTAAGATTTGGAGGGTAGTATCATTTTTTGACGCCTGACGCGTTTTTGGTTATTGCGTTGGTTCCGTTTCAAAATCAATACAGCAGATAGAAGATCTTGATTGGTTAGGAAACGCTTCGGTTTTTTCTTCTGCGTTCTGTAAAAAGAAATAGACGAAGAAGAAGAACGGAAACTCAAGCGTAAAGGTCTCTCAAAATGTTTGATCGCAAACAGTTATGTTTTTGGCACATAAAAAAATGTCGTAAGGGTTGTCATAAACAAAAGTCGAGTGGACTCAAAATCGCAAGCTCAGAATTTCTTCATAAGCCTCTGTCAGGGTCCTCAAGATACCCCCAAGCTTCCCTCACATTCTTTCTCGAAAATTTTTTGCACTAGTGGAAATCGGCTCAGTTTGTTCTCAAAAGTGGTTCACTTGCATCAAGTGAGCACGCGTTTTACGTAAGTGTTAAAAGTGTATCGCAGGGCCATGATAACTTATCACCATTCGGTAGGTATTAGTAAATTTGGAGGGTCCGTTAGTCTACTTTGACCGCCATGGATTTGGGTGATAACTTAGCAGTGGTCTTTCACGGCGTGAACGATTTGCGAGTGGTAAGTGATCGGGTGAAATCAGCTGGTCTGTTAACCATGGATCTCTAGGAGCAACGGCCGATTCCAATACCGAAGGATGACCGTAGGTATCTTGTAGAAATTTGACATTCGTACTGACGATGGTGTTGCAGAAGTTTTGCTTAAAGTGGACACCGTCGGTATTTGCGGTTCAGATTTGCACTTGCTCCGCAATGGTCTTCTGGGATTCTACGTTGCCAAGCCACCGATGGTCATAGGTGAGAATCTCGACTAATGTTCGGCGCTGCACTTCCGTTATAGGTCACGAAGGTACCGGCACAGTTGTACAAGTAGGGGAAGGTGTCAGTCATCTTAAGCAAGGTGATCGAGTCGTCATCGACACCTTGCCAAGGTGCCAGAAGTGCACTTGTTGCCAAATAGGTCGCTACAATATATGCAGCCATCCTACCCGTGGCAGAGACACCCAAACCGGCGGTTGCATGGCTCGCTACTACGCCCACGACGCCGACCTTTGCTACAAGTAACCGTCCCATCGAAAACTCCTCTAATCTCATTCGGTGATACTTCCGCAGGTTACCCGAGGAAGTGTCGCAGGAAGAGGGCGCCATGCTCGAACCTTTGGCAATAGCGCTACACGCCTGCAGAAGGGGGAACGTCCGACAGGGCTCGGTAGTTCTGATCATTGGCGCCGGACCCGTTGGACTGCTCACGCTGGCAATGTCCAAGGCTTACGGTGCTACGAAGGTCATCGTAACAGGTCACTGCGCTCTTGGAAACGCTCAAAGTTACTGATTTAACCTGTCGACAGATGTCAGCAAGTGGAGACTGGACAAGGCAAGAGAGCTTGGAGCAGATCTCACTCTCGAAGCTCAACCGAACGACTCAGAGGACTTGGCCGTGCAAAAAATTACGTCTCTGCTGGGTTGCCGTCCCAACATCAGTTTCGATTGCGCCGGCTTTCAGTCAACGACACGCATCGCTGTACAAGCAACGGCGAGTGGGGGTACCGCAGTCATCGTCGGAATATCGGGAAAGGACGACATGAGCCTTCCCGTACGCGATATTCTCACCAGGGAGATCGACGTTCGCGGATGTTACGCATGCGTGAATGAGTAAGTGTTGCCAACTTCACACGTCGTGTAACTCAATTTCCCCATACAGTTTTACAACTGCAATAGAACTGGTCGCGACTAGAAAGGTTGATATTAAGCGTTTAGCTACCCACCATTACCAAATGAGCGACGCTTTGAGAGCGTTTGATGAATTAAGAAGTGGGAAAGGAAATCCAATTAAGGTACTGGTGCATATTAACTAGTATCGACTACGGCTTGTGATGTGGTTTTCAATAAAAGATTTCGCGTTGTAGTGTATTTTTCAACAGACAAAGGCTATAGACTTCCCCATTACACAATAATCAAATAGGTAAGTTGGTATGAGAAAGTGAGATAGAAAACGAAGATGAAGAAGAGGGTTTAAATGGGCTGCCGTTTACAGAACTAAAATTTAAGACTCAATTCTGGCCTTACTGATAGCTGCAGTAAGCTTTTTACAAATACCCTAAACCAGCACAAATTTCTTAGAAATACTCCAATTTATGTACCTAATGTAATTTACGTTACCTGCTCGCATATTTCCGAAACTTCCTGGGGGGAGGGGAGTGATCCGCATAGCACCGGGGGAGAAGGCGTCTTCTTCTTCCAAAGAGTGTGGAATACCTCTCAAGAATGGAAAATTTGGCCACACAAAATAATGAAAGCAACCCATGAATATTTTAGTGTACAATAGCGCCAGGAGGGGGGGGGGGCTGCTGTCTAACTTACCATCCAGCCAACACAATCACCCACTACAGGTGAAATTGATTACATTTTACCGAAAGCAAACATGACAACGTCATCAACTCTTCTTTTCCTGGGGAATATTCCCTCAACGTTACGTTTGTCTTCAAAATGTTGAAAGTACTCAGGATTTTCATGATGTCTTTTCGGAAAACTACCACCGAATCTTCCTTCCTGGGGGCTATTTCCCCCCGGTGCTATGTTTTCCCTCAAAATGTTGAAAGTACCTACCCAAAATTCTCATTACAATTCTGCGGAAAACGGGAGGGGGGGGGGAGGGGTGCATACCCTCCAGAGCCCCGGGTGTTACGCATTCTTTAAAACGTTAAGCTAAAGAGTATACATGTGTGGAAGGAAAGCAAAATTTTCTCGACCAGCGCTATCGATTGGCGCTGTCAGAATTTCGACCAATAATTTTGACAGCGCCAATCGATAGCGCTGATCGGGACCTTTCCAACGAGGGGTCGGAAGGCATATCTACGACGCATCGTTCTCGAGATATTACGGTTTGAAATTTCGACCAAAAATTCTGACAAACCGTAATATCTCGAGAACGGTGCGTCGTGGATATGCCTTCCGACCCCTCGTTGGAAAGGTCCCGACAAGCGCTAATCGATAGCGCCAAAGGCAAACCAATTTTGTAAAAAAATTCAAAGGGCTGTAACTTTGAATCTAGTAGCCCGATCTTGGAACTGTTTGAAATTATGGATTCTACAGGCCACATTCTATAAGAAAAGTTTTTTCCCGGTCGATCTGAGACAATTTTTTTTTCGGGCCTCAAAAAAAGGCAGTGTATAACCTTCCTTTTTTACCAAAAATCGACTGCACCAAAATTTCTCGGGAAAAAACTTTTTCTTATTAATTTTGGTGCGTAGAATCCAAAACAATTCGTACTTTTTCGATTAGACTTCTCAATCAAAAGTTATAGACTAGAAACCAATTTCGAAAAAAATTCAAAGGGCTGTAACTTTTGAACTAGTAGCCCAATCTTGGAACTGTTTGAAATTATGGATTCTACAGGCCACATTCTATAAGATTCTACAGGAGAAAAAATTTTTTTGGGTCGATCTGAGACAATTTTTTTTTCGGGTCAAAAAAAAGGCAGTGTATAACCTTCCTTTTTACCAAAAATGGACTGCACCAAAATTTCTCGGGAAAAAACTTTTTCTTATTAATTTTGGTGCGTAGAATCCAAAACGATTTGTACTTTTTCGATTAGATCAAAAGTTATAGACTAGAAACCAATTTCGAAAAAAAATTCAAAGGGCTGTAACTTTTGAACTAGTAGCCCAATCTTGGAACTGTTTGAAATTATGGATTCTACAGGGCCACATTCTATAAGAAAAAAATTTTTCCGGGTCGATCTGAGACAATTTTTTTTTCGGGCCTCAAAAAAAGGCAGTGTACAACCTTCCTTTTTTACCAAAAATCGACTGCACCAAAATTTCTGGGAAAAAACTTTTTCTTATTAATTAGGGTGCGTAGAATCCAAAACGATTCGTACTTTTTCGATTAGACGTTTCAATCAAAAGTTATGGGCAAAAAACCAATTTCGACAAAAAATTCAAAGGGCTGTAACTTTTGATCTAGTAGTCCGATCTTGGAACTGTTTGAAATTATGGATTCTACAGGCCACATTCTATAAGAAAATATTTTTTCCGGTCGATCTGAGACAATTTTTTTTTCGGCGCAAAAAAAGGCAGTGTATAACCTTCCTTTTTACCAAAAATCGACTGCACCAAAATTGCTCGGGAAAAAACTTTTCCTTATTAATTTTGGTGCGTAGAATCCAAAACGATTCGTACTTTTTCGATGAGACGTCTCAATCAAAAGTTATGGGCAAAAAACCAATTTCGACAAAAAATTCAAAGGGCTGTAACTTTTGATCTAGTAGCCCGATCTTGGAACTGTTTAAAATTATGGATTCTACAGGCCACATTCTATAAGAAAATATTTTTTTCCGGTCGATCTGAGAGAATTTTTTTTTCGGGTCAAAAAAAAGGCAGTGTATAACCTTCCTTTTTACCAAAAATCGACTGCACCAAAATTTCTCGGGAAAAAACTTTTTCTTATGAATTTTGGTGCGTAGAATCCAAAACGATTCGTACTTTTTCGATTAGACGCCTCAATCAAAAGTTATGGGCAAAAAACCAAATTAGACAAAAAATTCAAAGGGCTGTAACTTTTGAATCTAGTAGCCTGATCTTGGAACTCTTTGAAATTATAGATTCTACAGGCCACATTCTATAAGAAAATATTTTTTTCCTGTTGATCTGAGAAAATTTTTTTTCGGGTCAAAAAAAGGCAGTGTATAACCTTCCTTTTTACCAAAAATCGACTGCACCAAAATTGCTCGGGAAAAAACTTTTCCTTATTAATTTTGGTGCGTAGAATCCAAAACGATTCGTACTTTTTCGATTAGACGTCTCAATCAAAAGTTATGGGCAAAAAACCAATTTCGACAAAAAATTCAAAGGGCTGTAACTTTTGATCTAGTAGCCCAATCTTGGAACTGTTTGAAATTATGGATTCTACAGGCCACATTCTATAAAAAAAATTTTTTCCGGGTCGATCTGAGACAATTTTTTTTTCGGAGCTCAAAAAAAGGCAGTGTATAACCTTCCTTTTTTACCAAAAATCGACTGCACCAAAATTTCTCGGGAAAAAACTTTTTCTTATTAATTTTGGTGCGTAGAATCCAAAACGATTTGTACTTTTTCGATTAGACTTCTCAATCAAAAGTTATAGACTAGAAACCAATTTCGAAAGAAAATTCAGAGNTGATCTGAGACAATTTTTTCTTCTTGCTTCAAAAAAGGCAATGTATAACCTTCCTTTTTTGACAAAAATCGACTGCACCAAAATTTCTCGGGAAAACACTTTTTCTTATTAATTTTGTGCGTAGAATCCAAAACAATTCGTACTTTTTCGATCGGACTTCTCAATCAAAAGTTATGGACTAGAAACCAATTTCGAAAGAAAATTCAAAGGCCTGTAACTTTTGAACTAGTAGCCCAATCTTGGAACTGTTTGAAATTATGGATTCTACAGGCCACATTCTATAAGAAAATATTTTTTCCGGTCGATCCGAGACAATTTTTTTTTCGGGAAAAAAAAAGGCAGTGTATAACCTTCCTTTTTACCAAAAAACGACTGCACCAAAATTTCTCGGGAAAAAACTTTTTCTTATTAATTTTGGTGCGTAGAATCCAAAACGATTCGTACTTTTTCGATTAGACGTCTCAATCAAGGGTTATGGGCAAAAAACCAATTTCGACAAAAAATTCAAAGGGCTGTAACTTTTGATCTAGTAGCCCGATCTTGGAACTGTTTAAAATTATGGATTCTACAGGCCACACTATAAGAAAATATTTTTTTCCGGTCGATCTGAGACAATTTTTTTTTTCGGGTCAAAAAAAAGGCAGTGTATAACCTTCCTTTTTACCAAAAATCGACTGCACCAAAATTTCTCGGGAGAAAACTTTTTCTTATTAATTTTGGTGCGTAGAATCCAAAACGATTTGTACTTTTTCGATTAGACTTCTCAATCAAAAGTTATAGACTAGAAACCAATTTCGAAAGAAAATTCAGAGGGCTGTAACTTTTGATCTAGTAGCCCGATCTTGGAACTGTTTGAAATTATGGATTCTACAGGCCACATTCTATAAGAAAATTTTTTTTCTGGGTCGATCTGAGACAATTTTTTTTTTCGGGTCAAAAAAAAGGCAGTGTATAACCTTCCTTTTTACCAAAAATCGACTGCACCAAAATTTCTCGGGAAAAAACTTTTTCATATTAATTTTGGTGCGTAGAATCCAAAACGATTCGTACTTTTTCGATTAGACTTCTCAATCAAAAGTTATAGACTAGAAACCAATTTCGAAAGAAAATTCAGAGGGCTGTAACTTTTGATCTAGTAGCCCGATCTTGGAACTGTTTAAAATTATGGATTCTACAGGCCACACTATAAGAAAATATTTTTTTCCGGTCGATCTGAGACAATTTTTTTTTTCGGGTCAAAAAAAAGGCAGTGTATAACCTTCCTTTTTACCAAAAATCGACTGCACCAAAATTTCTCGGGAAAAAACTTTTTCTTATTAATTTTGGTGCGTAGAATCCAAAACGATTTGTACTTTTTCGATTAGACTTCTCAATCAAAAGTTATAGACTAGAAACCAATTTCGAAAGAAAATTCAGAGGGCTGTAACTTTTGATCTAGTAGCCCGATCTTGGAACTGTTTGAAATTATGGATTCTACAGGCCACATTCTATAAGAAAATTTTTTTTCTGGGTCGATCTGAGACAATTTTTTTTTTCGGGGCTCAAAAAAAGGCAGTTATTACCTTCCTTTTTTTACCAAAATCGACTGCACCAAAATTTCTCGGGAAAACACTTTTTCTTATTAATTTGTGTGCGTAGAATCCAAATCAATTCGTACTTTTTCGATCAGACTTCTCAATCAAAAGTTATAGACTAGAAACCAATTTCGAAAGAAAATTCAGAGGGCTGTAACTTTTGAACTAGTAGCCCAATCTTGGAACTGTTTGAAATTATGGATTCTACAGGCCACATTCTATAAGAAAAAATTTTTTTGGGTCGATCTGAGACAATTTTTTTTTCGGGTCAAAAAAAAGGCAGTGTATAACCTTCCTTTTTACCAAAAATGGACTGCACCAAAATTTCTCGGGAAAAAACGATCTGAGACAATTTTTTTTTCGGGTCAAAAAAAAGGCAGTGTATAACCTTCCTTTTTACCAAAAATGGACTGCACCAAAATTTCTCGGGAAAAAACTTTTTCTTATTAATTTTGGTGCGTAGAATCCAAAACAATTCGTACTTTTTCGATCAGACTTCTCAATCAAAAGTTATAGACTAGAAACCAATTTCGAAAGAAAATTCAGAGGGCTGTAACTTTTGAACTAGTAGCCCAATCTTGGAACTGTTTGAAATTATGGATTCTACGTCGATAGCACCGGTCGAGACCTTTCCAACGAGGGGTCGGAAGGTATACCTACGACGTACCGTTCTCGAGATATTACGGTTTGTCAGAATTTTTGGTCGAACCTAGGGTCATCAAATCGGGGTAGGTAACGACAAAAGCGCCGAGGACCCCTAAGATCATTACCAAACAATTTTTAAATGATTATAACTGCTCCGCTAGTGCCTTTATAATTGTTCCTAAATTCCACTGTATTTGCACAATGTACGTAAAACAATTTTGATTTTTAGAATTCGTTGATTTATGAACTAATAGCTCGGTGGTAACTTTTAGCTACGGAACTTGAGCTCACAGCAGCTCCAACATAAGGTTAAAAAAAATCATTGCTATTTTGACGTGATCTCTACGACGGCTCAAGACCGTTTAATTTTTCCGCACTTTTACAGTGATCAATTTGCTTTAATAAAAAATGGTATGTCATAAAAATTTATTGACAGAGTTTGAAGATGGATCACTCTCTCAGCTCCACTGCGACCCTGTGTCCCATGATCGGCTTAAGTGTAACGTCCACCTTGAAATCTATCTTTGAAATGTCAGTGTAATCTGATGAAAACCGATACCGTCTGACAACCGTAGCTATTAGTACCTTCAGTACCATCAACGCGTACTTGATTCCTGTAAAAAAGCATTTCAGTGTAGCTGCACTACAATGGTAAGGAATACCAATGCAGTTACGTGGACCTGCGGAAAATGGCAACCAGCTGTAAGAGTGACGCTTGGACTTCGCCTCGGGTGCGAATCGATCGGGATCAAACCGAAGAGGGTCCGGATAAATGTCCGGGTTGCGGTGCAACGCGAAGATTACGCAAAGCACAGTGCTTCCCGCTGGCACCATACATTTCTCTGAAGCAGACTAAGTCAGGAGAGTTAAGACCTAGGTTTGCCCACCTAGCTGGATGTCTCCGGTAACGTTGCGTCCGAAAACCGACCCCGGTGGAAAAAGCCGCATCGTCTCCCTCATGACCCTCTCCAGGTACACAAACCGGCCCAAATCCTTAACGTCACAAGGACGGTCTGGGCCGAGAACGTCCATAACCTCCTCGTACACCTTTTCCTAGAAAATTTGGGAAAGCGTATTCGGCGGGTCGTAGGGATAAACTACCTGAACGTCGGGAAACATTGCGAGCATCAGCAAAATGTAGCTGCTGACAGACGCGGTGGTGTCACTGCCCTGAAATACTGGTGTTAGGTAATTACGTCCGTTTTTGGTATCGACTAACCGCCATCATGAAGGTGTCCACTTCCATCCGCAGCTCTTCGTCCGTAAATGTCTCCCCATCCTCTGAGAGTTCGATTAACTGTTGCAGTAAGTTGTTGCGTCTAGGCGCTCCTGTGGTTTTGCAGTGTTATTCTACGACTATACGTTTCGGTAACTTACCGTCGACGTAGCCCTCGCGGAGCCGCCTCCGATGCGCTTCCCTTTTTTGGCGTACAACCTGAAAGTCACTTACAGAATGTAGCTATCACATGCAGTAGTCGCCCACTTACGCCTCCAGTAAACTTGTGAATCTTGCCGTTGACCTCCTCCAAGTCCTTGGCGAGTGGATGCCACTTGAAGATGAAGTCAAAGCTCAGCGCAATGTTAAACATTCTTTTAAACATGATGTGCATCGCCCTAAAAAAAGAGACGCAATCATAGGCGATTTCGAGTGGACACTCACCTGTTGGCCCACTTCAGGTACTCCGAATCGGACACCTGCGCGTTGACCGAGACGCCCATTTCGGTCTCTGGAACGAAAAAATGCAGTTGACATGGCGGAAAGGGGTACCTACCGCAAATAATGTCCACCGCGCATCGACTGGCATAGTCGAAAACGTCGAAGATTCCCCGCCCGACCTCCCTCTTCAGTTGGTCCGCCAGCACGGAGGCCTGTTCGGCGAACACCTCGACGAAGCCGTCCAAGATCTTCTGGTTGAAGGCCGGGTTGATCAGCTTGCGATTGCGCTTCCATTTTTCAACTGAAATTTGTGCGTAATTATAAACTAAGGCGGGCGGTACGGTACCGGGTGCCGTGAAAATGCCGGTCCCGACTGTTGAGTTCGAGAAGCGGTACACCAGGTCCTTGCCGATTGAGTGGGGGTGATTGAGGATAATCTCCATGTCTTTGGGGTCCACAATGCATATGTTAAGGCGGTTTCCTATCCAAACCGGGACTGGGGGTTCGTACTCGTTCACTATGGAGATGACACTTTGCAGGATATCTGCAATGGAAGGTTTAGAGTTGGTCACCAGCTCCGAGGAGTTACCTTTGGTGGATCCCGCGAAGTACAGTGCACTGCCGATGAAAGGCAAAGCCAGTGGACCTTTCCTCTGGTACCCTGCCCTGTACAGCTTCCGCCGACGCCAGTGGAATTGGACAAACCATGCCGAAAGCGTGATCAGGGAAGCGATCACCAGGACTTGGTAGACTGTCACTTCAAGAAACATCGCGTGTATTACTAGGCAAGAGCCAAGGACTTTATACCAATCGAATTTCATTTGCATTTCGGCTTCACCTGAAATATTTCTACTGCATAATCAATTAATTATTATGAATGCACTTATTTACAATCTGGTTTAAAGTTGCAACATTGTGACTACATTTAATTAATTCATACGTGAACTTAGTGTTGATTCTTGGATTTTCACGAGGATCATCATCGTCTTCGCTCATCCGCCTTCAAGATTAGGTCCTTCGACCTTCTTTTCCACTCTTTTTTATCTACTGCCTTCATCATTATTGGTTTAATTTCGGTCTTCATCATAAGATGACGTTCTCTCCGTTTTTATTTTTAGTCTTCGTTATCGCTCTGCATCTTCCTCTTTCTGTTTTCTCTTTTGCTCTTCATCCTATTCGGTTTTCATCTCATCTTCTGCTTTATCATTTTTCTTCAGATTCAGATTTGATCTTTATCCAGTGCATTGAACCGCGTTTCTCCACTTTTTGTCTTCGCTCATCGGCGCTCACCGTTGGTTCGAATAGCTCTAAAGGACTCTGAAAGGTTCTTAAAGGCTCAAGATTATGGCTTTTGGAAACTCTTTCCGTCCTCATGTTCGATTTTTCTCCACTGTCTTTGTGTTTCGACTTTCACCATTGCATTTATTCATAGCCATTAGTCTTCATTTCTTATTTACATCCCTCGTTTTACATTTTAACGTTCTGCCTTTATCTGGAATCTCCCTTGACTTTCTACTTTAACCATTGAGTGATCGCATCTAATATCCTTTCCTTTATCTTCGTTCTTCATCATCAATCTTGTCACATACTGTCTGCGTCTTCATCTTCAAATTTCATCATTTGCCATCTTTTGTCTATGGTCTTTATAGTCTATGGTCTCTAAAGTCTATGATCTCTATAGTCTATGGTCTCTATAGGGTCTCTATGGTCTCTATGGTCTATGGTCTCTATGGTCTATGGTCTCTATAGTCTATGGTCTCTATGGTCTATGATCTCTATGGTCTATGGTCTCTATGGTCTATGGCTCTATAGTCTATGGTCTCTATAATCTATAGTCTATGGTCTCTATAGTCTATGGTCTCTATAGTCTATGGTCTCTGTAGTCTATTGTCTCTATAGTATATGGTCTCTATGGTCAATGGTCTTTATGGTCTATGGTCTCTATGGTCTATGTTCTCTATAGTCTATGGTATCTATAGTCTACGGTCTCTACAGTCTATGGCCTCTATAGTCTATGGTCTCTATAGTCTATGGTCTCTATGGTCTATGGTCTCTATGGTCTATGGCCTCTGTAGTCTATTGCCTTTATAGTATATGGTCTCTATGGTCAATGGTCTATGGTCTCTATGGTCAATGGTCTATGGTCTCTATGGTCAATGGTCTATGGTCTCTATGGTCTATGGTTTCTATAGTCTATGGTCTCTATAGCCTATGGTCTCTATAGTCTATGGTCTCTATAGTCTATGGTCTCTATGGTCTATGGTTTCTATACTCTATCGTCCCTATAGTCTATGGTCTCTGTAGTCTATTGTCTCTATAGTACATGGTCTCTATGGTCTATGGTCTCTATAGTCTATGGTCTCTATAATCTATGGTCTCTATAGTCTATGGTCTCTATAGTCTATGGTCTCTATAGTCTATGGTCTCTATAGTCTATGGTCTCGATAGTCTATGGTCTCTATAGTCTATGGTCTCTATAGTCTATGGTCTCTATGGTCTATGGTCTCTATAGTCTATGGTCTCTATAGTCTATGGTCTCGATAGTCTATGGTCTCTATAGTCTATGGTCTCTATAGTCTATGGTCTCTATAGTCTATGGTCTCTATAGTCTATGGTCTCTATAGTCTATGGTCTCTATAGTCGTATAGTGAGACATTTCTAAGTTTATTGCTCATCTGCGGTCCTGATACTGCAGTTTATGAAAGTCAAATTTGCATCAAGAAACCATAAAGTTTCAGAGTGTGTGTAATATGACATCTTGAGTTTACGAAACCTAGACACAATCAATAAGACTCTTTGTGTGTCTGCGATCGTGATACAATGAGAGATACTGTGAGAACGTGTGACCTTTAAGTGCATTGCATTTTACACCTCTCGTTTTCTCTATTATCCGGTACAACAAACATTCATATCAAGATCACATAATTCATCAAAAAGCGTATTCAAAAGTATTTTTACCTTGTGGCCCTGATACTGTAAGCTTTAAAAGAGGAATCGCCGTTCGCCTTCTACATTAATTTACCTTGCCTTCCTTGAACTCTTTTCTACTAGTCTGTGTCCTGAGAGAATAATTTGTATCAGGAGACCACAATAGAATGAGAGATTGTATGCGTCTAATTTTCCATATTTTGTTATTTCTGCAAATACATTTAAATTATGAGAACAGAATGCGTGGTAAGGTTTGTGTAATAACTTTTGAATTCTCTACACTCCTGTCACTCACAGCAATTGTTCGGTATTATATTTGGTTCACATAATGCATTGAAATAAAAATTCTAGAAATTTTACACCCTCATGCTCCTCTGTAGGCTTCGGAGAGGAATTTGTATCAGGAAGTGTGAAAGTGTAGTGCCCTTTTCTACTTGCGTGTCACCTGTATACAAAGACACTTGGGTATCAGGAGACTATATGACTTCAGAAATTGTATGCAATGAGGATACTTTGAAGAGCTCTGCTATTCCTTTGTCGCCCTGATGGAACAGTATGTCAGAAAAAACATTTGTATCAGGATCGTATAAAATTGTTTAGCTCCATGTAGCCCTAATGCAGTAAGTTTATAGAGCAAAATTTGTATTGGGTAGTTTTAGGATAAAGAATCTGTATCAGGATTTCATAATATATAGAGGTTAAAGAAATATTTGTCAAGATTTAGTGCAATAATTTTAAAGCGCCCTACTCGCCTGTCACTAAAACAAAAATTTGTATCAGGAAACAATGTATGCATGTAATTTGATATCTTTATACGTCTTTATTACCTCCCTGACATCAATCTTAAGAAACAAAAATGCTACTCGTCCGTAATTCGCATCAGGGTCGCATGATTCATGAAAAAGCATATGACAGATTTTTTACTTTTATGCTCTTCTTTAGTCCTCATACAGTAAGTTTTAAAAGAGAAATAATTATCGGGAAACCATAATACTTGAGACTATGTATGTCATTTTGAATCTTTTTCCGTTTCAGCAACCCTGGCAGAAATGACGATAAATAAATGCAACCTCTTGTGTTTCATGTCCCTCTTTAGTCCTGATTATTTTGTTTGCAATGCATTTTAAACCTTACCATTCTTCTATTACTCGGTACAACAAGCATTTGTACCAGGAGCACACAATGCATTAAAAGGCGTAAGCAAGAACCTTCATGCTCCTCTGTTGACTTGACACAATTTAAAAAGTACTGTCCTAAACGATCATACGTATTGTGTGCTCGCCGTAAACATGTCTCTTTCATTTTCTGTACCAGGATGACAGGAGCATAGGGAGTTGTAATATTGAGTGCCAAACTCTATTTCTGACACATTTGTCAGAGGGTCAGAGTTACAAAAAAGCAGCAACGTGTAAAATTGCATACAAGTCTTCCATTCACCTGGTGCAATTTTCTGTATCAGGATTACAGGGGAGTATCAGGGTAGACCCTTTCTTCGTTTGTCATCCTATTAGGGACGCAACATAGATGAAAAGGAGTATGCAAAGATGTTTTTACTTTCATGCTCCTCTGTAGCCCTGATACGGTAATTTGTAAAAGAAGAATCTGTAATAGGAAACCATAACACTTGAGAAATTGAATGTATGTTTTTGGTTCTGTAACCCTGACATAACAGTTGGAAAATTATAGCGAGAAGAGGTCGTTTGACACTATATAAACTTGTGTTGTCTCTGTGGTCCCACTTTTGCCAATAAATATCACAACTTTTGTGTTTCTGTGGCCCTGATCCGAATAATTAACGAGAAATTCGTATTATGGGAACGTAATTGCCTGTCAAACTGTAGTGTAAGAACGTTTTACACCTTTCTACTCGTCTGTCAACAGTTTTGAAAAGACACTTTTGTATCAGGAGACCATAATACTTCAGATATTGTATACGAATAAAAATTTACAGCTTCTCGCCTTTCTGTCGCCACTTGATATTAATCTTAAAATGTGCGATGGGGACATTCGGCAATAAGTGTCTCAACTTCCTATGTTTCTGTGATACTGATACACGGAATTAAAGAGACATAGCAATAAGCGTGAAGTTGAAGTAAACTAACAATTTTTAAGAGAACCGTTTGTATTAAGATGACATAATGCATTAAAATGTGTATGCTCCTCTGTACTCCTGATACCGTAATCTTACAGAAGAAATTTGTAGGCTATTTTATTACTTCTTTGTGTTATGAGTTCGTAACAGGCGTACAAGCTTGGGGAATATTTTTCTACTCGTCTGGGAATCTGATACAATGGTTTAAGAGAATGTATCAGGATCACATAACACGTTTAAATGCATATTACAAGATTTTTTTTTATTGTAGTGCTCCTCTGTGGTACCTACTGATATGTAATTCTTAAAACAAACATTTTTATCTTCTTGATTCGAGGATATCGTCATCTGACGCTTATTTTGACAACGTAGTGACCTACGACCTGTGCTCAATTAGGAGATAATGCGCCAAAGTTGAACATAATCAGTTAGCTGTTTGTAGTGAGAAAATGTTCCGAATGCCGCTGTTTTTAGTTACCCTCTTGGGGGTACTTTTCACTGTAGGTGAGTAACAAACCGAGGCGTCTAATAGACATCCGTACTTTCGATAGGTGAACTCTACTTGCGTTAACGTCTTGGACACATCTGAGCAAGCTTGCGCAAATGAATTCGGCCTAGACGCGAACTCGGTGCTTGAGCACTACGTAAATCACGTGGAGGATGCGAACTTTGCAAAATACCTAGACTGCGTATGGAAAGGGTGGGAGTGGATGAACGAAAATGGAGACATACTTTTTGACAATGTCAAAAAGTCGAATCACTTGCCGTGGAGAATTTCCAGAAAGTGCGATGACATGCCGCACCTGACGAAAGCCATGCGGC